ATGCACCAACCTTAAACATTCAAAAGAGAATATGGGACTCAATTACCTATATAAGCTCTCTCCTGATCACGGGTGAGCCCTGGGGGGATGACTGTGGGCATGCCCGGGATAATGGTCTTCTGATCAGGAGTCTCACTGCTCCAGCGGCTCTTTTTCCTTTTCTTCTGACCACAATCTATCAGAGATTATTGTTGGGGTATCAGTGACCAGCACCACCGCATGCATGTTTGTAGATTTATAAATCTTCAAAAGATGATCTTCAGTGTGCAGAGCAGTGTGAAAACAGGCAGCGGGCTTCTTACAGAGTATGGTCGGATAGTTACCACACTTCTGGCTTTTTCAAAACGCAGATCAAAACGCATTTCCGTCTACTTTTTATTGCAGGTTTCTTAAACCGGTGGTTCTGAACCGTTTTGTGCTGTGAGGCCCTGCCCCTCGACAAACACTAGAGCAGGGGTGCCGAAGCCTGGTCCTGAAAACCTACAACTCTGCATAGTTTAGCTCCAACTATAGTCTATCACACCTGATGCGGGTAACGAAGGCCTTCAGAGGCATCTGAATAATACTGCCAGGTGTGTTGGATCTAAAATCTTCAGGGTGGTAGATCTCCAGCCCCCTTGCACTAGAGCACCTGAAGACTGCTCAACACAAATTTTAGTCTATTAAATTGTATTCATGTGTGAGTGGGGGTGTGAGTGGTTAGGGGTTAATTTCAGTATACAACTATCCAAACTCATCATTGCATTTGTTTACTTCCTCAGGTATTCAAATAAGTGAAAGATAAACAGCTTGTTGTGTTTAGATGTGAAACATCTAATGGTCATGGCTGAAGTCAAAGTTTAGGTCATGGAAATGACCACAGTGAAGAAGTGACACTATGCATAAAAGACACTGTCACCGCTTATTCATAAAATATAAAACATTTTGGTAAAATGGAACAAAATGGAAACTGGATATCGGTAAAAAAAAAATGACACGGAATACGTTTCAGTGGTCGTCTATATACTTTGGGGTGGTGCGGTACCACCACAGTCATTCAAAAAAAGATCCTACGGCCCATAGATAATAACTAGGCCACATCTACATAAAGCTGCAGATTTAAAGCTTCTAGGATTATAGTAAAAAAGCATAATGATAAAGGTGTTATATTGAGGCCGCAATCACGATGAATGACTTCTCTTACTTTGGAGCAGTTTACTCTCTTCAGACACAAATCGGCTACAGTGACGAGGGGGGAAAACATCAACCAAACAACACTGATTCTCTGAGCAGATGCAACAACGATGGGCAATCCGCTCAATATGACTGGCTCTGTTTTAAAAAAAATCCTCGATAGCAGTGTGAGCGATAGGAGCTCACACTGCTTTATTATGGCCAATAATCTTACCATGCCATATGTGGCGATGATCATTAGATATGTGGCGATGATCATTAGAAGTAAAATGTTCGGATTTTTGGAAGATCACGTTCCGCTAATTACTGCCCTCTGGTATCCGAAACGTACTGGAGCGCCTCCTTAAGTTGTACTACTGCGATTCATCCGCCATCGCCAAACACAGTATAAATCTAAATGTAAACAGGCCTAATACCATTCGGAAGATACAGGCTTGTGCTTAAATTAACCCCACATATAACACTTGTTATTCAATTTAACGGTAATTTTAGTAGTGAACGTTACAGCATTCACAAAACTAACGTTAGCTCACACTCACGGCAACCAAGCTAAGTGGCATAGCACAAAACCTTTAAACGTACGCACTTAAAGCGGGGAAACGAACCAAAAGGGCTCTTTTAAAGCTAACTTGATTCAAAAGAACCGGCTCTTCAATACGGTTCGTAGTGGCCTTCATTAATATGGCAACGACCAGACGAGCAACGTGGGCCTACAGCAAGGTAGCTAACCTACACGCTTCTATCCATGCTTTAGACGAGGCTGAAGTCGGCTTCCTATTAAATTTTTCCATTCCACCTTAAATGGTGCAGCAGATCCATTCAGAACGTAACTGCTGCACTATTTAAGGCGGAACGGGAAAATTCGAACAAGAAGCGGACCTCAACTTTGTAAGTTAGCTAACGTTATGCCTTAGGAAGAGCGGTCGTGCTTAAACGCGGTCCTCACAGGCCGCAGCGTCTTACCCACCTCATTCAGTTATAAGGGAGTCTGATATTTAGCTTTTTACCTAGCTTTTTCGACCTAGGCGTGTTAGAGTTTGAAAAGCGCCCGACTAACCCATCTCTGTGCGCCCGGCTGCTCCAGTCGCAGAAGATTCTGGAGTCTTCTCTCGTTTTAGCCCGTATTAGCTAAAAGCTAACCGATCATATAGCACCACCACAGTCACACACGGTTATACTGTACCTCCGCCTTGAGACGGCAACCCGGCTACAGCTGGATTTGCAAACGAAGACCCGGGCATTCCGGAAAACTGAGGGAAAGACACGTTCGGCATCTGCGGCTGCTGGAAGTTCTGCAGCGGGAATGAGACCGGAGGCCCCGGCGGAGTCGTTAGCCCAGCGCCGGGACCCGCGTCGAAGCCCCGTTTAGCGCCAATACTCGGGTGCAGCTTCCCCAGCGGGGTTGCGTTTGCTCCCGTTGCCATTTCCGAATGTTTTATCTAACTCTCCTCAGTTGTCTAGTATGTTTCACCTACAAGTCCTCCTAATAACTACTTTACTTTAATGTAAATAGTCCGAGCACGTCGGTAAGTGAACGGCTCAACCTCTCTCAGTCACCCGATACGGTCGGTCAAGATGGCGTCCGTTGAGGCGGACAAAGGAGGTTCGGTGTCACCCAACGAGTGCTCTAATTGGTCAGAATTTCCGTCAATCATAGCGTTCTCAACTGTCATTGGACACAAAAGGCGTTCTCTAGTCCCGCCTTGAGGGTTTGTTGATCTGTGATTGGACGTTTCTGCGCTCAGTAACCTTTAGACTGCACGGAGGCTCCTCCTAGACTGAGCGCCGCGGAGAGACTGGCTGCGTCAGAATAGTTGAATGAAACTTTCTCTTATTTGTATTCTTTGATTTGCTTGATCTGGCATCCATGTCCTCCACATGCTAGTCAGGTCTGCCAGTACATTTAGCGAGACCTTTGCTACAAATTAGGCAAAACCAAGAAAAACAGATAGGAAATGAAGTGTTTTGTAGCTATTGGGACACAGCCACTAAACTGGATATTTCATGTGATGGACACATACAAATGCACCTCCTTTACTATATAAATAGGTTTTGCAACTACAGTTTCAGTTAATTAAGAAAGAAAACCGTAATATACAAAAGCAAACACGCGAATATAGCTTACTTGTAAACTAGTCACAAATATTAAAACACTGAAATATATATTTCAAATAGGCATTAAAAATGCGTATTAACATAATACTTTAATAAAAGGCATACCATGGGTCGTGTGGATTAGCTACTTGCATATAAGTGCATATTCATCGAATTCTCCCGTTGTCATTCTATAACCATTTAACAGTATTTTATTAAAGGTTTAAATATGAAATGTGACAATCAAGCACAAGAACACGTAAATACAGTAGTTTTATTGAGGACATTAATGAAATACAATTTGTCACTAAATATTCATAACACTGCTTCAGCTGAAACTGCAGAGTCAGGCCTACTACTTTTGCCACGTGGTAATTTTAATACAAAGCAGTTCACTTCAGTAAAACATCACATTATTCTTTGTAACAATGGGATTTTATGTAGTTAAGTTGAACAGGACCTGTAAAACACCACGATGAAATACAAGCCATCTTGCACAGTGATCAGTGTCAGTTGTCGGATTCCAGCTTTCATCACGATCCCTCAAACAGCCCCCTCAGAACCTGAATTTTATTACTGTGGAAACTGAACATCTGGAAAAACTAAACATGAATTCAACTGCTTACTTCTACATTATATATTGTACCTTAAATTATTAAACCCAAAACATTTTTCCAGATTGCAGTCTGTGAACTGACAGAAGAAATGCTGTAAATAAAAGGACACTGAAAGGTGGATAGATCTTCACGAAGACACACTAACTTAAGCAAGGGTGTGTACGCTGCACCCTGATGGCTAGCAGTGTATATGCACTCCCTACAAGCAACTCAATCTCCTTGTTTGTTTGTTAGTGTGTATTTAAATTCCACATGCAGAAATAAATCACACACATCTGATCATACATCACTGGGCTATTTATGACTACTCCAGTTTCTAGATCATAGCTGATATTCACTGGTACAATTTATTTGCCATTACATTGATTTTATATAACCAACTGGATTTTGGAATTGTTTTTAATTTTTGGAAAGGTTTTAATTTTTAAAAGACTTTGATGGTGATTAAATTTCTTTTAATGAAATGCATGCATCTAAAGTAAAATGCGTACAAATGGCTTTTAAAAAATCTGAACATACTTCTAATGCAGGGAGGCAATTTTATTAAACAGAAAAAAGGTTAAAAAGCAAATTATGAAATACCGTAACTCACCTGGGACTACTTTACTGTTGTATGTTCATTTGAATGTTGCAGGCAGTGTTGCGTTTCTTGTTCGTCTACACAGTCCTTCTGAAAATGCCCTAAATCACGTCTCAGCCAGTACTAGCTAAGAGCTTTAGAGGTAAATTATGAATTGATTAAAATATTTCAATTAACACATTAAAATACTCAATAATTCACACTGTTAACCAAAGACATGATGCTGTAGAACAGTTTTATGTTGTACAAGACCATTTTGAACTTTAGGAGCATGCATTTAATAAAAAAGTAAAACGTTGTGTAAACTGGAACAATTCATTTTAAGAAAAAGCGCTGGACCATCCTATAAAGTTTATAAAAATTCCACCTGTGAAAGATTCAGTAAAAATGAAACTCTTCAGATGCTAATGCCAACATGTGCACTGCATCATGTAAATTATGAAGTTTAAATGAAATGAAATACTTTTGTGATGGTAACTAAAAGAAGCTTAAAGTTGCTTAATTCAACACTAAGTAAGCGACAAACACATACAACTGCTAAAAGATGGTGTAGATAGTGCATCGTTTGCAACTTCACAATCCAGACAGAATTTATTCATTGCAATGACTGAATAACTACGTCTGTGGAGGTGCAATTGAGGAACATCTGTAAAGAAAGCAGACCATCATCACAACACAGGTTTTTTCTTTTCTTTTCTGGAGCTTTTACCTATCTCCCCAATGTTAGTCATTGTCTGAAATCTCCCCTATTATCTAGCACCATCTGAGAGAGCAAAGGCAAGCACAAATTTCTTCGAGACTTCACGCTGCCACCGCATATTTTCAAAAAGCCGTTCAGTGACGTAGGTACATGAATGCATTTGGAGGGAAGCATTAACTGTATAGTTTTGTACATGTGAGCCACCAAAAGGCTCACATGTACAAAATGTGCAAGAACTGTAGGATCATTCAGAATCAACCCTGGGTCCCGGACATTCCAAGCATACTCTAAGACTTGATTTTATAGCAAATTTTCAAGACAGTAATGAAACTGTCACCAACAGCCGCTCAAGAGACTTCTACAACATTTGCCTAGGTCTTTTAGCATCACAGAAGTACAAACATGTCTATAAAGGAAGCTAGCAATCGGTCCTTTACTGAGAGAAAAAAAAGCAATATTTTTACGAAATCCTATCTAGTTCACAATTACTCAGCTCTCTTTGAAAGATTGCCAGACTGAAGATCCCATCTCCACAACCATTTTCTATTTTTACAGAACAGGTAAAGGGCTAGGATTTTGAAAGCCTTTTGATGTATGCTTGGTGCCACTCTGTATCACTCCAAAACATAACCAATTAATCTTTAAAAGAACTATTGGGGTTTTTCTGCCATCATGTCTTGCGTGTGTAGGCCAAACTACTAAAATCAATTTCGTCCACAGATTATTTCACTTGTTAGTATGGTTTTCATTTTATACAAAAAGCTACGCACACCTGAAAGTCCAGAAACTTCACTAAACTTTAGAGAAATATTTGCTGTACGACACAGTCTGTGTGTGGACCATTACTAACTGTGGACAGGTGTTAGGTTAGAACGCATAACGCGCCCGGTCGCCGTAAGGGTCCCGCGGCATGTCGTACGCAGAACTCCGGTTGAGCGAAGAAACAGGGGAGATGCGCGACCGATCGTACGAATATCCTTCCCCCTCTACGGGGATTCGTCGGATCGGGCTCCGATCGCGGGTATAGTATGAAGACACGGGAGCCGGTGGAGGGGGGATGGGGCGTCGCTCATATGGGTCGAGGTTAGAGGAGGACAGGCGGTCTCTCGCGATGGTCGAGGACGTAGGGGGAGGAGGGGCAGGAAGAGGGACGGCGCGTCTGTCTTCGAAATAACCGGCTCCATACGGACGCGCCCGATACTTTTCGTAGTAGTCCACCACCCCGTACGGATCCCTTTCGTCATAGGGCGCTCGCCGCATGGGGTACCCGGGCACCGCGCTGCCATAGCCCGCGCCACTGCTGCCGTACGCCGCCTCACTGCCATACACCGCACCAACGCCGTAGCCCGGCGGGACACCGTAACTCACTGCGCCGTCATAGCCCGTGCCCCTTCCGAACCCAGTGGCACTGGGGTAAGCGGCTCCCCGAGAGAAGCTGTGCGCGGGTGCATAGTTGGCACCGTAGCCCGGCTCGCCATTGAAGCCACCACGATGGAAACCGCGACCGCCGCGACCACCACCCCCACCGAACCTGGGGGGACCATATCCTTCCGAGCCCGGGCCCTCTCGGTAGGAGCCATTCTGGTCCAGCGGGCACTCTTTGGACCAGTGGCCTTCCTGCCCGCACCGATAACAACCCGTCCTCTCTCCCATTCCCGGCGCAGTACGCAGGCGGCTAGTCGAAAGCTTCACGCTGATCAGTTTCCCTTGGGAAAAAGAAAGACGCAAGACAATTTGCCACGATACTTCTTAAAAAGTGCTACACAGACAGTCGAAAGTTAAAGGTTTGTATGCTCCATTGAAGCATAAAGTAAGATTTGAGATTTATGGACTACACAAATTGAGATGTGAGCATTAGAGACAGTCCATCTTTTCCAGGACATTTTACCAAAACTTCTAGAGCAATTAAACGTAGAAAGCCAAAATGCTAAAGGACGCGCTTACAAAATCTCTTTTAAGATTACTGTGAAGCATACAACTTTGAACAAAGCATTTCTTCTAAATCTAAGGGATTTTTGGTCAAGATGATAATATTTGAGCTTGTTGCTTATCACTTTAAAAAACTGGGAGGGCAACACTCCACTGAGCTGATTACAGCTAATCAAATAGATCAGGTACCAGGTAAACAGATTACATTGGTGAACAAGATAGGCACTAATTTTGCTTACCAGTTTTACTTACCCACGTGCTTTACAGATCATATTTGCTACAAGAATGGCAAAGTTAAAATTACTTTCAACTTATATATACATATATATATATATTAATACATATTTGCATTTTCTGCAATGGTCAAACAGATGCTCTAGCTCTGCATGCTGGTTCACCTTGAAAGGCTGTGTTGTCCAGCCCACTGATGGCCTCCATAGCATCCTCCACCCGCTCCATGTGTACGAAGGCATAGTCCTTCACAATGTCGCACTCAACTACAGGGCCATACTCCTCAAACTTGGCCCGCAGCTCCTGGTTGGTACAACTACTGCTGATGTTTCCCACATGAAGCTTAGTGGAGGCCTTCGGTTTTCCTCGGCTCATTTCCACATTCATGGCAAGGCCGTTGAGCATGTAGTGGTGAAGGTTTCGAATGGCTTCCTCAGCCTCAGCTTTGTCGTCCATGTGGACGAAGCCGAAGTTCTTCACAATATCACATTCTGATATTTTACCGTACTGAGAGAACAGAGAGCGAAGCTCCTCTGTTGTTGTGTTTGGGGAAAGATTCCCGACGAATATTTTAACCATTCTGGCCCTTGATTCTCACTCTCAGTTACCCTATAAAAAATGAACAGACATGAAGTTTAGACACCCTACAAAAAGACAAATAAACAGACGTGGGGTTTAGACACCCTACGAAAAGACAAGCACACAGACGTGGGGTTTAGACACCCTACGAAAAGACAAATAAACAGACGTGGGGTTTAGGTACCCTACGAAAAGACAAATAAACAGACGTGGGGTTTAGGTACCCTACGAAAAGACAAATAAACAGACGTGGGGTTTAGGTACCCTACGAAAAGACAAATAAACAGACGTGGGGTTTAGGTTCCCCCACGAAAAGACAAATAAACAGACGTGGGGTTTAGGTACCCTACGAAAAGACAAATAAACAGACGTGGGGTTTAGGTACCCTACGAAAAGACAAGCACACAGATGTGGGGTGTGGATGCCCTACAAAAAGACAAATGCCCAGATGTGGGGTTTAAAAAACAGTGGCACAGTGGAATAGTTATAACATGAGCGATAGTGATTAAAGGAATGGTTCACAATATTTCTTTTACCCCAAATGCAGTTAGAAATAATGGAAGTTTGTGTCACACAGATCTCCAGTACTTTTTAGCTACATTAGCCTCTTGGCTCTAGTGCAAAACTAAATAGGCTAAATTTGGACACCAAACATGTCAAACACGTCTACAATTGAGATAAGGGGAAAACTGTAATTTTGAATACTAGGCGAAACACTCCTTTAACCACCGTCACGTGTATAAGTACGCCTAATGTAACGTTACTCCGCGCTTGGAGTCAGCTACATAATGTAAAGTTAAATAATTAAAAACGCATTGGACGAAAGCTCAGTAACACGCGTTACATGAATCTAGTTAGGGTAAGATATATTTCTAATTAAACCCAACAAATTCTCAATGAAAATAACGGCAGAGAGGCATCTTTGGTGCCGGGCCTACTCATGGCGAGGACAATAGAGCAGCACGCTGCGCTGAAGAGCGGAGCGCCGGGCGAAAAGACCAGACTCACAATCAGAGCCATCAAACGGACAAACGAAACGTTTAGTCCACGAACTTAAGATAACACATATTAACTGTGTACCGTCTGAACAACTAGCAATACGGTTTAGCGGGGTAATGCAGGCACACTGGCATCAAGCTACGGCTAGCAAGGCAACAGCAAATGTAAATCAAAGACATTCAAGTAAAACGAACTGGATATTAACGAACATCGCCGATATCTGCTGGAAAACTGGATCTAATGGATTACGAAAGCGAATCACTGCAAAGCCAACATGCCTGCGCTCGATATCTCTGTAAATAATGCCGCTTTAATACCGTACCTTTGCAGCCGTTACGAAGAAGTTGCCGGTCTCGACTGAAATGGCGAACGTGGCCAACATAAAGACGCGCCCACAGGGCCCAACCCCCTTTCAGCTTCACTATACAGACAATAACACTGAGCTACGACCACAGTGTCTGAGCCTCAGTCCCTTATATAGATACTTGGTCGCACAAGCATTATTCATGATCTGCCTACTGATGTCCATAAACGGGAGTTTGTCCCTCCTTTGCTGCAGTTACAGCCTCCACTCTTCGGGGAAGGCTTTACAGTAGACTACTGCACCTGGAACATGTAGTGTTGTGAAGATTTGATTGCATTCAGTAACAAGAGCTTTAGTGAGGTCAGGTACTGATGTTGGGTGATTATTTCTGGATCCGACTCATCTCAGAGGTGTTGGACGGAGCTCCAGCACTCCTGAGAATACATTTTCACTGCACCACAGCTCACATGCTGAGGTGTGCTTTAGGCCCACATGCCACTGGATATGGTTAATGGAAATGTCTCATGTGCAGCTGATCCAGAGCAATTAGCAATGCTTTTTTTAAATGGAGATTATATAAAGTATATCCATATCTATGGAGATTGCATTCCAGCACACGTCTTGCCATGAACGTGAAAAACAACAGAGAACACAACACATTTTCACCCAAAAATATTTTGGTTTATTACAAAAGATCTCATAAAACACTACCTCTGAGGGAAATCAAATTTATAAACAGTTTCACCGACCTTACCAAGGCACCCATAAAGAAGTTACACCACACCAGCAATCTTAAAGGTGAACTGAGCCCTGAGTGATAGTTGGTCATCACATTTCTATTGCTTATGTACAGCTTTACATCCACTTCCGTTGCCCAGACATTAGCATGACGTCAGGCAAACCCTTGGTGAAATACTGTTTTATAGAACAAGTAAGCACTGATGCATTCTTACCATGTCCTCATACCACCAATAGGTAAGAGGTTGTGTACAAAGTCTCACAGTGCACACACAGATAAAATAATTATCATCTCTTTCATATGTATGACTTTTATATCCTAAATTGGGTCTAACTGGTGCTAAACCAGTCTCAAATATGTGTGCAAAGCCTCCAGAATCCTGCAGAATCTTTGAAAAATCTCACTTAAACTGAGAGAAAAAACAGGTTAGCTCTATTATCTTTGTCCTATGTACCTTTAGTCACGTTATAGCCATAGATGAACAAACATCTTGTTTGCAGGTGAGAAAAGTCAGAAGAGCATATTCTGTGATATGTAATGCAAATCAATGAACTGTGCAAGTAAGAGTAAGAGAAAAAGTACGATAAGGAAGGGGGCAAAAAAAAAAAAAAAAGTAACAGGAATGTTCATTTTAGGTTTTGTTTTCTCCATAAAGCTCTTGAAAGACATAGCCTTACACTAATACATATTTCCACTGCAAGAAACTGAAGCAGATTGTCCTCACAAGACATGTAATGCTTGCTAAAATAATTCAAAAAACAAATAAAATTAACAGCACATTAGGACCCCAAAAACGACATAAGAAAAACTAAAAGTAACTGAGTGATAGATTGCATGAGGGCTAAAGCAAACAAATGGTAAACTGCAAACCTCACTTGAATGGCTGTGCTTCTCAATATGCACGGAAACGCAAAAACTTAAGCAGGACAATATGTACTCTGCAACCCACAAGGCAAACATGCAAGGTTTAAATCAACATGAACCTGCTTAACATCTCGCATCGTTACACAATCAATGTCTTGATGCCCCCAAAAAACTAATCAGTAAGAAACTTTTTGATAAACATGGGTAATGAGGAGAAGACAGAATGTTAACAACTGAGTTAAACATATGTAAGCGGAGAGCTAATAAGTGATAATGGAGCCATGTGCCTTCTCAGTCTTTTATCTTTCAAATTCAGTCTTGCATCTCAAAAACTTTTTTGTTTCCTTGTTTTGATTGAAGCAAGGTGGAGGGAATGATCGCAAAGGAAAATCCAGCTGTTTCAACGCACCTGAAAACACAACAGAACAGATATCAGACATGTAAGAGACCTTTCTCAAAGCTCCCTTCAGATTTATCCACATAACCCGAGAGAAGAGACTTTCCCCCTACATCACTGAGCATTTGATGCGACTGATTATATTTCTCTGCTCAAAAACACACTCAGTGTCAGATCACACCCTGGGGATCAGAATTAAAACCACGCTGAGAATTATGTTCCCCAAATCGCTCACCTTGGCATGTGTGTGGCTTAGTACGCATATCGCGCCCGCTCGGTGGAAGGGTCTCTGGCCCGCGACACGGCATATGAGGTGCTCCTTGAGACCGGGGAAAGACGCGAGCGCTCATACGAGTAGCCATCAGAGCCAGTGCCGACTCTTCTGATCGGGCTACGGTCCCGCGAGTAGTACGATGAGGCTGCGGATGGCAGGGGTGGCGGCAGAGGGCGGCGGTCATAGGGGTCAAGGCTGGAGGCAGCCAACCGCATCCTTGAGAGAGAGGAAGAAGAGGGAGGGGGAGGAGGGGGAATGGAGAGCCGTCTATCGTCCAAATAGCTAGAGGCAAAGGGCCGAGTACGATACTTCTCATAGTAATCAACGGCACTGCAGCGGTCACGCTCATATGCAGGTGACCTCTCCAGGTAGGCGCTCACGGGCTTGCTGAGGTACCGATCTCGAGCATCAGCACCATAATCACGTGAAATCCCATAGCTGGGCTGGTGGCTTAATGGTGGCCCAGAAGGTATTCCTGCTGGATAGCTCCTAGCAGGAAACATTCCTGGGCCTGCCCTGCTATAATCAGGGCCTCCTCCAGAGAAACCCCTGCCACCATGGAATCCTGGGCCACCCCCATAGCTACCGTTCTGACCGCGCCTGCAGTCTTTGGACCAGTGACCCGGTTCTCCGCAGACGTAACAGCCGGTTATGTCTCCCATGCCGGGCACTTTGCGGAGGCGACTGGTGGACAGTTGTACGTTTATCACCTTGCCTTATGAGAGGAAGAGAAGACACGCAAGACAGTGTAAAACCTTTCGCTCACGCCATCGCATTCAAGAGAATGAAAAAAGCAAGACAGCCAAAACGCACTGCGGATGTGGAATGTTCTGTCACAGAATTAAACTGCAGAAATTTCATTCACGTACGGAAAGTGCTACATAAATGTACCAATAACATAAAACACAGAAGGCCCGATATCTGTTTAGGATCTACTGCTTCTCCATAGGTAAAAAGGGAGATTCAATTATTACTTAAGCTAGAAATACTGAATAGAAAAACTATAAACTCTGGATAGCACTTTCTTTCTTCGTTGTCTGTGAGAGTTCACCTTGAAAGGTAGAGTTGTCCAGCGCGCTGATGGCCTCCATCGCATCTTCCCTTCGCTCCATGTGTACAAAGGCATAATCCTTCACAATGTCGCACTCAACCACAGGGCCAAACTCTTCAAACTTCGCCCGCAGCTCCTGATTTGTGCAGCCACTGCTGATGTTGCTTACATGCAGTTTGGTAGTTCCCTTGGGCTTTCCTCGACTCAACTCCACATTAATGGCCTGCCCATTCAGCACGTGATGGTGGAGTTTACGAACAGCCTCTGCCGCTGCCTCTTTATCATCCATGTGCACAAAGCCAAAATTTCGCAGGACGTCACACTCCTTGATTTTGCCATATTGCAAGAAAAGATCGTGCAGGTCTTCCTTAGTCGTACTTGAAGAAAGGTTGCCAACAAAGATCTTAACCATCTTTACCGCCGATATTTTTTGCTCCTGGGTAGAGAGTATAGTTTCGAAATTCACGTTATAGAAGACTCGTTGAGCGATATGGATTTACCTATCTAACAAATCTTACCAGTTAGTCTATGACACTAAATCATCTAGTAAGGTAGTAAGGTCTACAGAGTTGGCACATTCATGTCCATAAACTCAGATAAACCTTAAATTAACATTTTAAAATACTGCCACTAATACTATTTAATTAACTTCCAAGTTTATACATTGTCGCTGTTGGCACTAACCCTTGTCTTTCCATATTTTTGTACAAAATATGAAAATTATGTCCTTTACATTGTGCGAACATTTGGTGGTGCATGGACCAGTAGAATTGGTCCAAAATGACTTGGAATAAAATATCTTTACTCCCATTAAAAACACATAACCTTTCCCCCTTCCCCTATAAAGTTACCTTTTTGGAGATATAAAATTTTGTTCCAACATCTACATATTTATCTCCCAGGTGGACAGAGTAGTCTAAACCCATACCCAAGTAAACGTATCACTGCTTTGGTAGTGAGGTGAAGACTCAAGCAACAAAACCAAAAAACAACAGGTCAAAACTGTTCTTAGGCACTTAAAAAAAGTACAGAACTGCAGTGGAACTTTATATCATATCTAGGCTCTATTAGCAACTTAAAAGTCTGCTGAATTTCAGAGCAGTGGTACAGTTGTCACCAACGCAAGAATTAAATACTAAGATGGGAACCAGTGACTAAATGTCAATGACTTCAGTGAAGTGAAGTGATTATTTAAAAACACTCAGAGTACAAAGTTTTACTTGAGTACAGGTAACTCAGATAGCTACTACCCAGCTCTGTGGTTAGAAATATAACTAACGTTACCAGCTTACCGTGAGATCTGTTATATCTGCACCGCTAGCTTGCTAATTTGTTGAAGAAGTTCAGCTACTAACTTTTAGCTATTCGGGCCACATCGGTTCTGTACAGCGCCAGGTCGTTTAGAGACAAGAGTTTTTCTCGTGTTTAAAAGTGCGACTGTTGCGCAGCGGAGTACATTAGGCTTGGTTTAGTGAGGACAGAAACTCGTGAACGTGTGTGACGTTAGTTAAGTTATCTGAAGGCCCGCGGGCCTCATGAGCTGCTTGCGAAGGAGCTTAAGTCGGAGCAGCAGTGAGCCGCGTTAGCCCAAAACAGTTCAAAACAGACCCGCCAAACGCACGACACGACATAAAAACGACAGCGAATGTGCAGTACACACCTGCCTAGTCTAAGGAGCGATTTCCCAAACCCATTAGTGCAAAAATTAAAGTTGGTTATCTGAAAACCTGAACTGCTCTTACCGTGTAAACCAACACGAGCGCCGAAGGAAATGAATGGAAACACGAAATGGCGTCGCCAGGAAAACAGAGAACGCTTCCGGTACATGTCACACTGCAATTTACACGTTTACAAAACATATAACATGCAAATATGCGCACCAGAAAGCACCTACATAAAAATGAACACACTCATACACACACACACACACATATATATATATATATATACACACACACACACACACACACCTGACTGTAAGTTCATGGCTCTGCTGCATTCCTGCTTCTAATGTTCGAGTCGGTAAATATTTCGATCAAAACTAACATTTTAAAGGGGAATTCCTCCGAGTTTTCAAAATGCCTGCTTAGTTAAACCTGTGAGATATAAAACAGTCGTTCTGGGTGGTTTGATGTGAAACGTGCCGTTTCTGGAGAAACCTACCGATTCAGAAATGTGAAAGTAACCAGACGTCCGAAGCGATTAAATCCTCTTAAAGCTCCCTCGCAGAGTTACTACACTCCAGTGACGAACCCGCTGATGGCCGAGACGTTATTTTACGTTAGTTATGAGACAGTTTGAACCAAAGCGGTTTAAATCCATTCACTCCCGGAGGGAACATACAGGACCCTGTGCGGCAAATCAGTATCCAAAGAAAACGTATTTCCACCGTTTTATCATCAACATTTCATGTAACATCTCTACAAAGCACCATCATCTCCTTAAGTCTTAATTTCAGCCACTGAATTCTGCAGTAACGTTTAAAACTCTGACCCTACTCCCACTCCTGTGCAGAAACGGGTCTCAATGTTAATTTCACTTCCCTATTAGAAGTAGCTCATGAGGAATTTGTGTTTGACTTCCACGATGGTAATGTTTTAACCTTCTCCAGTTTATTCAAGGCTTTCAGCTTTGCTGTTGAAAAGCATCACGTCTTCCTGCCAAAGACGCCTTTTAGTAGTTCACAGTAACCCGAGAGGAAAAGGGAGGGAGGAGGACGGGAAACAAAACACTCCAACAACTTTTCAGGAAGTCATTTTTATTGTAAAATGTCACATTTGGTGAAGCTCTTGTGAAAAATGTGTTTTGAATTCACTTTCTAAATAATTAGCCTGCATGCATTAAACATTTTTAAAGTAACTGCTACGATCTACCCCTACAATGTAAAAAAAAATCCTTACAAAATTCCATGAACACCATTTCCAAGCACATTTTTACTTTATATCCCTTGTTTCTACCAATATAGCTTGTGATGGCTGTGAGGAGCTGCCTCAACAGCTGAACTGACATGCTGACAAACTTTATATCATTACTGTAAATGCTTGGACAATAAAAAAAAAAAACATTCCATCACAAATCATTGAACAAGCAAGTAGGACAGGCATGAACCTTTTAATATTGCCTAGCACTAACAAAACAGGCTCATCACCAAGCCTGAGCAATCACCAAGCAATACCTAAAAAAACCTAAGCAATGTTCAGCTGTTTATAAAACTTTCCGTTTTCTTATTACCCAATTTACTTAGTTGAATTAATTTGCTCAGTTGGTAAGGGCATGAACCTTTAATTATTGCTCAGCACTTAAAAAAAAACAAAAAAAAACCCAAAAAATTACATGGCCTGAGCAAAATAACTCATCCAAGTCTGTATTTTGGGTAAAATGGGGGGGAAAAAAAAAAACACACTACAAATAGCCAAATCTTGTTAATGATTTCATACTTGCAATAGATTGAAAATATCAAAGAATGAGAAAATCAGGGAAAAGCATCATCAACTCCATCCTTATTAAATCATACCACAAATTTCATAGTCATGCAAGGTTATGAATACCATAACCAACTTACCTGAGTTTGTGATCCAATGTTCTCAACCCTCACAATTAAGTGAAGGGCTGACTGAGATTCAAAAACAAACAAAAAAGACAAAAGATTATCTTCATTTGTTGAGTTAAAAACCAAAAGACAATTCAAGCTAACTGGGGACAGAAGACCAAAAGGGGAAATTAAAATAAGATGGTTGTTGAGGCACGCAGAAATGTGTGGCTTGGATTTAGAAGGGGGAAGGTTTATGTCATCATGCATATCGAACAATATCGCCTTTTTAATATGTCGTCGCAGAGATTATGCTATTTCTGCTCCATCACGATGTACTCCCAAGACACAGCTTGATTATGCATTGTGTTATTTTCTTTCCATTTCATCAACGTCTGCGTGACGAGTTTGGCTTCAGCCTCAGATACTACATTATCTAATTTACACTTGCATAAACTGTTCTGTTGAAATAAATAAATGAATAAATAAACAAATCGACGCATGTGTCAGACTTTTTATTAAAAACAAAAAAGAAAACATTGTATTTAAAGAATTGCCAATCTCTGTAACTGAATTTCAATCTAAAAGAAAAACCTCAACTCATACCATTTGCCGCTTTTATTGCTGCTCTGAATATTTTAATCGCAAGGCGCACGTGTGTACCCATTAAGTCTACTAAGACAGATGTGGCACTTGTTCAAAAGAACATGTCTTGAAAGTTATGACAGATCTCAACTAAGTTACAAAAGATAAGCTTCAAATTAAACAAAATGTTTTGATTTTACAGAAATACCACACAACGTACATAAGTTCTGAATGCTGACAGCAGAACCGCCACACTGGGAACCAGTAACAACTATATAGTAATAGTTTTAACAGAATCTAAAACTTTTAGCCTGTCTGCTTTATGTTCAATCACCTGATGAAGTCGACATAGTAAAAACAAGCAGAACAGAGATTAGGCAAAAGGTTACAGTTTAAGCAAGAGGACGAAATTGAGTCGAGTAAAAGCGTTTAAGTTTAAAGCGTGAAGTCCGCAATAGAACTCTTCCAATATGTGAGGCGCAGGCAAACGAAACGCGTTCCGTCAGACGAGGGGTGTATCGCGTCGTGTGCACCTGGAGACGACAACGACGATCTTGTCGAATAATTTACACCTGAAAAGAGAGCAAACCACATAAGTCAAAAGCCTAGCAGAGCCATTTCTTAAACTGCACTGTTAAGTCCACTGTGTCTTAATTATACACCTTATAATTAAATTTACGCAAATTTAGGTCGCCTCTATACATCTTAGCTACATGGTCACTGCATATTAGCAGTTTTTACTGCCACGTCAATCGATGTTATTGCAAATTACGCACTCCCTTCACTTTACGCACTAGCGGACAAGGCGCAGCGCGAGTGCAATAGAAGACTGTCTTTCTTTAGGAAAACGCCTTTATACTGCATACTGCCATTTAGAAAGCTCTTTCACTGAGAGCCTATCCTCACCTTGGGTACACAAGTGCAGACATTCACTTTAGTATGAAAAGCGTGCAGGTGGCGGTGGAGGCACCCTGTCAGAGTAGGGGTCCCTGGAACGAGCCGCGTTGTACATTGGGGTCCGGGACATGGAAAGAGGGGAGAGACGGGAGCGCTCATATGAATAGCCATTTCCTGTGGGTGCTGCAGGGGCTGGTGGAGCCCTTGTGATGGGACTACGATCTCGGGCATAATATGAAGACGGTGGGGGAGGGAGAGGACGACGCTCATAAGGGTCAAGACTAGAAGCGGCCAGGCGCTCTCTCATGATGCCAGATGAAGGGGGTGGGGGAGGTGGGGGAACAGAGCCCATCCGGCGATCCTCATAGGAGGGAATGCCGTAAGGGCGAGCACGATATTTCTCATAATAATCCACCACCCCGTTACCATCACGTTCGCGATCGTATGAAGGATAGCCACGTTCCGGATAGGGGGGGCGCCTAGGTGGAGGGGGTGGTGGTGGTGGAGGAGGGGCAGGGGGGTAACCATGGGACCCAGGAGGGTGACCAAAGCGGCCTCTAGGATATCCAGGAGGACCTGGCTCAGGCCTCTCGCCAGGGAAACGGGGTGGCCAATAGCCTCCACTTTCTGGGGGGCCATAACCGTCATCCTCTCCTCGTGGTCGGCTCTTTGAGATTTGAACGTGAATCCTTTTGCCTATAAATGAAAGCATTGCAAATTAAAAACAACATTTTCAGAACAACAGTTATAAAGACATCACATAAGCATACTGACTCAAATTGAACTGTACAGAATTTATATTTACTTTTCAATTTAAATTTAACTTTAAGTCCAAATTAAGAGTGGAGAACTTCCTACCTTGGAAGTCAGAGTTGTCCAAGCCCTTTATTGCGTCCATGGCCTCATCTGAGTTACTCATGTGTATAAATGCAAAGTTTTTTATTATGGCACACTCAGTCACTGTACCATATTCTTCAAACAAGGCCCTGAGCTCTTCCTCTGCACCCTTCTCTACATTGGCCACATGCAGCTTGACCGGGCCCTGGTTCTTGCCTCGACTCGCCTCAACATTAATGGGTGTGCCATGCAGCTTGTACAAATGAAGGTTCCGAATAGCCTTCGTAGCACTCTTGCGATCATCCATATGGACGAAGGCAAAGTTTTTGATGATAGCACATTCTGTGACTGTTCCATATTGAGAGAATAGTGCCTGGAGCTCATCAGTTTGCGCCTGTGCCGGCAGGTTCCCAACGAAGATCTTCACCATTGTCAGTATGAACAGAAACCAAGTCTGAAAGACACTAAACAAAAACGTAACGGGTCGGTTAGAAAAGGGAAACCATCAAAACAATAAAATACATTATATATTGCTTGTGTGTTTAAAATTAAATACATACACGGAAAATAAAGAGTGTGCCCGTAAAACTGGTTTTAAAAAAAAGGTTCGCGTGAAATCGAAACTATTTGTAGTACTAGTCGCACTTCCTGCTTAGGCAGCACTTATCTAACCATCTAAGCACCTACATAAGGGCGACATACAATAAACTGCGTGCACCGCGCTAGTTTTACGCAAGGATAAAAAGAGCAGGATATCTGACAAGGGTTAGAACCGTTCTGTTCTTCGTTCTGGTTATAAATTAAGATTACTACTTATTGTCAACACAGTTAGCTAAGCGTTCTTTAGCTAGCTACCGTGCTAATGCTAGGCGGCGAACACATGAGTGAGGGACTTTGCGGTGAACGTCGAAGCCGCTTTGAGGGATTACGGAAATCGGAAAGCATCAAAACCCACAATTATCCGCGCAAATATTCATTAAATCCCGGATATACTTCGTAAACGCCGTGCAGACGAACGCTTCGTCTTCGGTTAGCACAGTTGGCCGCTAGTTCAGAAATGAATGGCGAAGCGGCGTGGAACTACAGGCCGCAGAGGGTCAACGAAGCTCAAGTCAGCGCTTCCTACTTGCCAGCTTGTTGTTCGAATTTTGCCGTTCCACCTTAAACGTTGCAACAGTTACGTTCTGGCGCCTGAGGCGTTATAGTAAATGCTGCACTATTTAAGGTGGACCGGGAAAATTCGAACAAGAAGCTGGCGAACGTACGCCAACTTCAGCTTCAGAGTCAGGAAGTCAGTGAATCCTGAATTTTTTATTAAACTTTTGGAAGTCTGCTCTAGGCCACATAAATCCATTGTATGCAAAGAAAATCGCATCTCCAAGATTAAAGTAATGTAATTAAATGCGTTTTTATTTTTAGCAGCGGCTGAGAATAAGCTAACGCTAACGGCTGGCTAGCTAACCTAACAAGCTAACCTAGACAAAGTTAACAAGATTAGCCAGCACCATGAACGGATTATTGCAACTAACTTACACAGCCGTCTTTAAAACTAATAAATTCGTTCTTGATCGACGTCTAAAATTAGGATCTTACCAAACAAGCACTAACGCTAACAGCCAGAAGGTCAAAGCACTTCACAGATACTCACCCCTTCCTTCTGCCCGCGCTGGAGAAACGGGTGTCGCCACTCTTAAACCTGATCGTCCTGGTCCCGCCCACCTACAGGTTCGACCAATCGGTGCGAGTACACCGGGAGGACGAGCGCATTATGATTGGATGAACACCTCTTTTTTCACTTGACTGATAGGAAAAAGAGCCAGTCTTATTTGGTATTGAGCATGATTTAAAAATGGACGATACCACTTATTTTCCGACCGATACCAAATCAGAGGTAGGCTATCCCGATACCAGCACCAAAACCGATACATTTAAAAGTCTTCCTGTGCACATAAAAAGGGTGAAAACCTTGTGATTTCAACAGTAAAAACTGGTAAATATTAATATGCTTTTGTATGTTTTGCATTTTTTGAAAGTGTCGAAATACTGTTCCAATACTGGATACTGATTGTGTGTGTGTGTGATGACTGGAGGAGGGGGGCAGAAAGAAAAATATACTTCTTATATTTATTTGGTGCAGTCTTGTTTTTACACTTTTTCTGCATCATATACAAACATTTACACAAAATTTAATTTAAAGATATTAACACTATTGTTTAAAAAACATTTGGTTTCTTTGTAAGGATCAGTAATCAAAGGGAAACATCATAAGTGCAAGTATCAATAGTGTAGTATTGCCATTTACACATGGTATTTCCATGTGTTTAAAATGCATCTCCAGTGACCACTTGCAATCAGATTTTGTGACTGGAGAAAGGGTGTCGTGCACATTCACAGCCCTGGCCTCTCACTGCATTCATCAGGTAAAGGTCCCGCCAGTCGTTGTTCGTGTACATGCAAGGGCTGTTACATATGCTTAGATTGCATGGCCTGCCTTTACGACTACTAAATTGCCAAACAAACAGAAAGAGGATATAAAGGGAGTGACTATGCAAAACAGCTGTTTTCATCTCTGCTGTGATGGTGTAGGTGTCCTTTACTACTGACAGGGACGTACGGGACACTGTTGTGTTCACGCTGCAGATATTATTTGGCCAAATAGGTCCCTTTCCACCCCCAAATGTGGTTTGAGTGGTCAGATCTCAATGGCTCCATATATACCTGTCATTAACATGCGTCCTGGGTGATCCAATCATAAATAGACAGCACTTTACAGTACAAGTGTGAATGGGGTTCAGTATCTCTCAGAGAGGCATAGTGATCCAATCACTCAAACCATCATGATAGTATATATTATACTTTTTGTCATTTTTTCAGTCTACCTCATTCTTTTACGCCAGAAATTATTCCAGAAAACAACAAAAACTACCTGGAAAACAAAACCAGAATCAAATAAGCAAAAGACAAATTGACTAAAAACCCCCCAAAATACTCTACTTATTAATAGGACACAGTAATAAATAACTACTCCTGATAAACCTTAGGTCTATCATTATGAACCTTTATTTCTTTATTAATTAATGAAATGTGCTGAAAGAGGTAGATTAACTGATTCTTTAAAGCGAGGTATTATGTCTCTTAATCCAAAATCTACAGAACATACTCTCTGTGTGGAAACCGCACTTAACCCTGACTATAAAAAGCTTGTATCTGTGTGCAAATAGGCTCAAAGCTTGTTTGAATGAAATGATTTCTCTCCCAGGGATTATGAAACATCTCCATCAATATCTTGTCTGAGATATTTTGAGGTACTCAGAGTTATTATCAGGATGAGGTCATTTTGCTTATTCATTAAACTTTTGACAAAGTTTTATGTATGAGGCTATGGATAATTTTAGTTTAGGAGGAATTAGAGAAATTAGATAAGTCCCTATGTCTTGCTGTTTGTTCCTGATAGCGTCAGAGCTTCTGAATGTACATCTCTTGTGCTGTGAAACCAGTTAGACTATACATTAGAATTGCAGATCAGTCGGCAGATGACACATGCTTCTTCTTCCATGATTATATGCAGATTCCTAACATTTTTGATGATCTGCTCTAAAAGTTAGTAGTCTGAAAAAAAAATCTTCTAAACAAATATTTCAGGTAATGTCTGTAAAAGACGTTCTTTCACCACCACTGTAAACAATTCTGACTCTGTCAGAATTTGCATGCTGAAATAAATATTATATAGTATAAATGTATTACAAAAATACTATTACAGTCACCTTCTTTAGTTCATGTGACAATAATTTGTATATATTTATTGTTAGTTGCTGTGGTGGCCTTCTGTATTTGCTCTCTTGCAAATTCTGCCTACTTATCTTCCCATAACTAATTATTAATTAATTATCTTCCCCATAATAAAAAATAAATAAAATACAAATAATACTAATGCAATAAGTAGTGGTGTGATGTATGTCAACTATTTCCAGACCTCTACTCAAAGCAGTTTTATTTGTAGTTCCCATGTATTTCCTGGTGTAACTAATCCATCGTTCATTAAATTAAAATCAGTTGTGCTGGTGATGGAATTTAACAAATCCATGTGATGGCTGGGGGCACTGAAGAGAGCTCTAGGGCCAAAGTCATGTTCTATTCAGCTAATAACATCTTGACTGCTTTTTGAAAACAAGAAATTCTTATTACATTTTACTGTATTCATGTTTATGTGTATTTTTTCTTATGATATGTGAGTTTTATATAGAGGTGTTCCTAGCAAAAACACACTTTTTTGTGGGTTGTGTTGTCATTTAGATTATGTTGTGATGTAGGCTATCAATATCATGTTACATTTGATTGCTGATTTTTTTTAGTTCATTCTAAGAATTATTTTTGTGACACCCGTTAGAAGCTACTATTTAAGAGTCCTACCCTGGTGAGACTGTCATAAGGGCATGAAAACACTTAAGAACATATTTTTTCAAGCATATCACATTCTTACAACAACAGAAGAGTTAGGAAAGAAACGATATGAAATTCATATGAAGTAGTTTTGAAGAAAAAGAAGTTAATTAATTAAAGAACTTAATTAATCTTATTAAATTAATCAATCTCAGTATGTAGTTAAGAAAAGAGGCACATTTAAGAGGATTTTCTTTCTTAAAACCCATTTGTGAATCCAGTCCAGGTCTTGAATGGTTGTAAATAACCAGCTACCAAGATGGCCGCTGAGTGAACAGACTTTCCTGTAAGGACTTTCACCCTGATTTTTGGTTCCGAGCGTGTCCTGTAGGCTGTGAACGGTTCCGCTGACAGTAAACCCATCCTTTCTAAAGGGACACGAGTAAGACCGTTTCCTCATTGAACGTGTTTCAGTGTAGATTAACTCGCAGCCTGAACCACCGATAAGCGAAGGCCTGTAGGTCACAACCATAAACCCAGTTTATTGGGATTGGAGACCTCGTGCCCTTGTTTTGATCGCTGTAAGGCAGCTCCGTCTCGAAACCGCACTATATTAAAAATCTCAACTCTACGACAGGGACATAATACAATAACACAACGATAATAATACCGCTATCGTCTTATCCTAATGTAATGAGATAATGAATCTATTTCACACTTCTGAGCCAGGTTTCATCATGTTTATCGAAATTTCCCGAGCTATTGCGCAACACCGGACTTTCCGGGCGGAGTGTCAGATTTCTCCGCTCTTCTTCCTGGATGTGGTGATGAAACCTCACTGGTCGCTTCTCTCTGAAGGCAAACAACAGAAGTCCGTTAGACTGAAGAGGAGCAGAGCGGTGCACACTGACTGACAGAGAGGTGGAGGCTGAAGCGGTGCGGCTTTTCGGTGCTAAACTGTAAAGGTAGGCTGTGCAGTGTGAGTGAGGTAGCATGCTAAGCTAAAACTGCATTAGTAGTAAACTTCTGTCTGCCGTGAACAGTGAGCAGAGCTGTGCTGGCAAGTGTTTGCACACGAAATGCTTGGTATTTGTAGCCTTTGTGTTGCAGTAGTAAACCGATTACTCAAACCAGAGAAAAACAAGTTAACTCAATGTATCAGGATTAGTGCTGCTGTATAAAGCGTCTTATCTGTAGTATTTTCTTCTCTGGATAATATTCCTCTAACACTGTCTTGTAATGTTAATCTATAAAACTTGTGTTGTACACTGAAAAAAACGGTGCACGATTCAAATGTGTCAGGTGGTTGCAAATGAATATAATGTATGACGACACTTTTTCAGGCTTCTGTTTTCTAAACAAAGCAATGAGCAGTTGTCTTAAACAATGACAACATAGTTCATGGTGTAGTCATATGTGTTTTAAAAGCAAATGTTCTTGGGTTTCTCTTTTGTAGGGAAGGACCAAAATAGTGTTAAACAACAGCAAAGTGATATGGCTTGTGGGATGTTCATATATGATCTTAAAGCACTTTTTTGTTTCTGTTTTGTAGGTAATAATCTGTAAGAAAAGTTGACTTAAGTGAGAGTCCTAAAAGCAACAACTATGAATGTGTCTCAAACAATGACGACAGAGGAGACACTCACATGTCTCCACATTTATCTCTATCATCCTGAGCAAGCCACCCAGCCTCTGTACAACCTCTTGCCCCTGAATCGCCTTCACAAGAGGAGCGCCGAAGACTCCGTCAGGTTGGGGCGAGACGGACAGACCTGCACTTTCGTCCTGAACGACGCTCGTGTCTCCAGAAAGCAGATTTCTTTCCAGGCATATCGCAAGGCTGGTAGTGCAGACATGCGCTTCACTGTCCAGAACATTAGTCAGAAAGGCAAGGTTGTGGCCAACGGGTGTGAACTGGGATACCTTGAGCGAGCCGATCTTGAGGATAAGGCCCTGCTCCGATTCGGCAGGTACGAGTTGCTGATTTTGAGGGAACCTGGCGAATCACAGGACAGTTTTGAGGTTCTGTTTGAGAAGCGGAACATTCCCCCTTCACGAGAAATGGGCGTGGATGTAAACTTCAGGTCAGCGGTGATGGAAACAGGCATGAGAAGCTATCAGAATGGAGGACCTCTTAGTCAAGAGCCACTTGAGTCTGACGAGACTCTGTTTGAGTAGCTGTTGGGAAAGAATCCAGCTGTTTGCACTGATCTAAACATGAGTTCACCAAGCTGTGCTTTTGTGGTTATTATTAGTGTCTGAAAAAGAAAGGCTGCTGTTGAATCAGCAAAAATGACAGTTTCTTCATTTCGCAGAGTGAGAAAATAAGCAGGTTTCCACTTTGAAACTTTGCCTGTTCTTGTTAATATTTTGATTTCTGATTCACTTTTTTGACTCTGTTACTTAAAATTCCATGTCTTTTTTTCTTCTTAGGACCACTTAAAATATGTGTGAAGGTTTATATACCAAAAACAATCAGTTTCATTTTTCCATGACCATTTTCCAAACTCCATAATCCATTAGAATTAAACAAACTGTTTTTATTACTGTGCAATTAAGTCTAATATATGTAAGTTTTATCTGATCTTCAGTGTGACAACTTCAGTGTGAATAGGCAGGGCTGAAGTGTTGTCGGCTGAATAGGTGGATGAGTGTAAATGTGCTTTTTGTGATATCACAGTTTTAGTGAAATCACAGAAACCACAAATTCAAGCTATTTTCATATGCATGAACCGTGGGGTGAATGTTATATTTAGAAACTTTAACAGTGTTTGCATGCTACTTCAAACTGTTTTATTTTAAAAAAGGGAATTTGTTATGGCACACTGGCCCTTTAAAGCTCTTTGTAAATAATGGACTGAACAAAACATTGAGTAGCATTTTTGACTGGAACCAGCTAATTGTATTTTTCTAAACACTGAGCCAGAGGTTTACCCCCTCTCTATATACAAGTATGCTTATCTTAAAGTATTTAAACTAGTATTCATAGCATTATTGTTATCCTGAGATATACTGTGTAATATTGTGATAAAGTACCATGCATTTGTTGACCGTTCATGTGTTACACATATGAAGTATAGGCAGGAATGCCCTGAAATGTGAGAAATAGCTAATGAAGGCTAACACTCTGTATTAACTTTAATAAACTGAATTTTGTAAAGCTGTTGGATTTTCTTTTGTCAAAATAGAAAACCACCTGTTTCAGTAGTTAATAGGTCTATGCACTGTAGGTTTACATAAAACAAGTGAGGATGTCTGCATAGGGAGTTCTGACCTACAGCCAAAGTATTCAAAGAATCCAATATAAGATAAGAGACTGTTGTGCCAATACCCCAGTCAAAACATTGTGTGTCTGTTGCACAATGATCAGCAATGTTCTTACTTTGTTTTTCTGCCTTCTCAAGTATTTCAGGTGCCCTTCTGAAAAAGTTCTTTACTTTTTGCTCTGCACTGATATGATTATATGGTAATAATGTATTTATAGTGTGTGAGATAAACTTCACAACTGAGACTTCCAGGTTCCTACTGTACAATCTTAACCAGCCATAGGAACCTGACCACAGCACAGAAGTAGAATTGACTCCCAGCTGAACTCATAAAGGAGTGCTCCAACCGATGTGGCCTCAGTGGCAAGCCTGGGGCTTTCCCAGGTTCATTATCCTCAGCGAGCAGCTGCACAGCAGCCATTCATTCACATAGTAGCCGCAAATTCCAGACAAGTCAGACTATATGCACGGCAGATAAACGGGCCACTGCCTCTGAGGCTGAAGTCTAATGGAGTGGTGCTGTTCTGCTAATAAAAAGCTGAATCTGGCCGAGGAGCTAGACACTGAGCTATGCAACTACAGAGGAAGGACTGGAAGAGTAAAACCAGTCTAATAGTGAATTAAGGGTCATTTACATTTTTTCTTTTTATCCTTTCCTCTGAGTCTCCTTACAACATGTATGTGTCTTTATGTACCAAAACCAGTCATTGTTAATTCATACACAACCATTTTCCATCCTCTATCCCTATTTGAAAATGCTGTTTTTGTTCCTGTGCCTTTAAGACTGATAAATGTAAATGATCTCTGTCCTGATTGGCTGTCCTGTAGTATGCCTCATTGAAAAAGCAGTCTGGACTGAAACACTTCTTATAACTTATAGCTATAGTGGGACTAACCTGGCATAGGTTGAATAGGCTCATGTAAACACTTCTTGTCTCAGCCTCTACAACGTAGTTGTTATTTATGCTATATCTTACAACCCTCTATATATACGGTTTTTTTTGACAGTTACAGCTTACGTCATGTTAGAAATGTCAGTGGACCTGTTCAGTTACAACCCGCCTCGTCCTGGTCACGACTTTTACATTTGTACATTTTACACATCAGATTAAACTAGAGAATCTGCTGATTTAGACCATATCTGTTAGAACATTAAACCTCCATTAATGAGTGCTGACCAAGCTATAATCCAGATGTAAAATTTTACTTTCTTACCTCAAAGTCTGATTTTGTTACATAAACCCATCACCGTTTCACACTAAGTCTTCAAACATCCCCTATCAGCTCAGAAGGTGGGCACGTGAGCAAAGCAGCGATATTAGCCCTGCAGCTTGTTTCTGTAGATACAGAATTTTTAGCACATATAGGACACTTTATGTCTCAAATACTCTAACATTTTGATTATAATGTCTGTCCTCCTTTCGTAGCCTATGTTTGACAATTTCTACAACTTTTATGTCCTTTTATACCCCCCCCCTCATTTTGATCAGCTTTTCATTCTATGCTTCAGAAATATTGTTTCATTATTTATTTTATTTATTTTGTCCTACTAACTCCTATTAAATAGAATTGACAGTAAGATTAGTTTTATGTATATTTTTATGTATATGAAGGACTTGCAACCACTTTTCAGTAAGTGTGAGAATGTTAACAGTATTACTAATTCTGATTTCTGAATTGCTGTATATTTAGAGTGTACATCAAAGCTGTCCAAAGAAAATTATGTATCTCCACTTTTTCCAATTTTTATTTTTCAGCATCATTGAAGCACAACTTTACATCCTGTCAAAATTTCATGATGAATAGACCAACAGAAATGGTCCAAAAATTCTTAGAAAAAAATGTCATGAGATTGACTTACATTACAAATGAGTAGTGTTTTTGCTTTCTCTTGTAAAGTTACCATTTTGAAGTTTTTTGTTTTTATTTTTGGGAAGCTATTATATGTTTTTAAAGAAAGAGTAGATCCGGCTTAGTAGAATACAGGGAAAACCTGTCTGGTAGGTTTACTGCTGTAAAATCACATGCTTATCTGTGGGCATTAGGTGAGGTTTCAAGCAGTGTAGGTAGAGGTAGAATTTAGAAATATAGAACATTCTGTAGCAGCCCTCACTGTCTTCCCTCTGTGAGCTTGTACAGTCCAGGTAATATGATGATGGCAGCTTCAGGATAATGGTTCTTTCTCATGAGCTTCTTCTGTTCTTACACTGATCCAGGCTCAAAGCAGAAACTGAAAGAGCCTGCCTCATGTCACATGCTAGAACTTAATTATCCTGAACTTGTACTGTACACTCTGAATGGAAAAACCCAAGAGATAATGATTCTAATAACAACAGCTTGCTTCACAGAACTCTGAGAATGAGGGCTATTACAGTAAACTGAAACCAAAACTAAAAACTATTAAAAGATATATTAAACACCTGCTTTAAAACATAAACTAAATCAAAGTGATTATTGCCACTGAATCTAATTGTATCTGAATAAAAAAAAAGCTAAATATTTTGGTTTTTATATTTTATCACAACAAATTGTGATACTTCTTAGGCCTTGATGAGAGAATCATGGTTGGGTGCATAAAAAATGCAGAAGGATGCCAGATTGTGCATGTAAATGCTTACATTTCTGGAGCCTGTGCTCTGATTTCAAAATTGATAAAATACAGTAAAATGAACTAAAACTATTAATGCCTCCTAAAAGGTAAAAAAAAATCAAAAGAAAAGAGAATTTTACAGAGTGAATATCACAGAAAAAAACAACAACTACATTATAATAAAAGCATAAAACGTTTATAATCTTGTTCAGGATTGCAGTTCATAGGATGATCTGGTGAAGTTCTGGGTCCTGGGCTTTATTACCTTCATATTTAAATATCTCGTTCATGGGTACTTCATTGGATTAACCTCCAGATTTGAATAGTTTCTAGGCTAGGACCATTTAAAAGCTTCAGAATCACTGTGACTATCATAAAATAAAGATTTAAAAACACCCACACAGATCATGTGTACGGCAGTTTAATCTAAGCAGCGCGTCAAACCAGAAGAACTGCTTTAAACGCTGAGGTATTTTTGCCTATGGGTTCTTGCCCTCTTCTCTTCTTGTATTGCTGCTCTTGTCAACAGCTGAAGCATTGAAAGGTACTGCACATGTAAATATTTTTACACCTTCTCCTCTACTCTACCATCGAATTCTCTAGTGTTGGGGGGTCAGTGCAGTTCTTCGGAATCCTGCACATCCAGACATGATTGTCACACTCTGTGCTCCTAGACATATTATAATGACAATTAAATAATAAATAACGATTATTTTTACAACTTTTTTCATTTTAATGTTTATTAATTGTGTCTCTCATGAATTTCCATGCCTTGTTATACTGTGAATGTGGAGTGGCAGAGAACAGGAATTTGCTGGCAAAAATCTTAGAATGTTCTTTGGAACATATGTGCTCTCGTATCTGCAGTATATAGTTTTGTGACTTGGAATAAAGGTGAGGGGGTGTTAAAGTGTGGGTCACATGGCTGTTAAGATGAATCTGGAGTTAAGTCATGTATTGATTAAGAAAATGTAGGGACATTGTATAGTAGTTGACTAGGAACTTATTTAATTCATCTTATAAGTTGGGAAATAACTTGCATTGTATGTTTGTAATGTACTACAAACATACAATGCAAATGACTTGAAAATCATTTGTAAGCATTTAACTGAGTATATTCTTTGTGTTTTTATGGGTTTTTGGGTTCATATTTGTTTTTCTTTTGATTTTGATTGTGAATAATTTGGTTGGGCTCTGGGGGCGGGGCGGGGGGAGACTTGGCTTTTTAAAAGGGGTACAAAGAGCTCAAATAGGCAGTCTGGTTATGGGATCTGGAGGGGCAAGTCAGATGTCCTGAATATCAGGGTCTTTGTGATATAGCCTGTTTTCTAGCTGGTTGACTGCAGCTGTTTTCTTTTGTGTTTTGTGCAGTTTTTTTTAATGTATTATTTTATTTCATTGTACACATATGCATTCATAAAAACTGGGAAAAAAGGGAAAAAAAGGACATAAAGCTCCCTGGACCGCTGCAACTTGGAAGTCTGTCTGAGTGAACTTTCTGCTTCACTCCTCCTCGGTCAGCTTGTTAACAGTGTCAGTATTTACATAGTGACATAAGATAATTTGTGAAGTAAATAACATTCTATTGGCACGAGGGGCTTATAATAAAGTGACATTTATAAGACTCTTATGAAACAGCCTTCTCAAGTAGTGGAACTCCGTGGAAGTCCGAGGTCTAATTAAGAACACCATATCTCAGGTATGATTTTAATGTCTTCACACAAGAGTAATAATTTATATATAGAGCACGTCTTTTATTATAAACAATATATAACCCTTAACATTATCAATGTCACGCAAGGCAAATCCATAAGCTCAAAAATCAGGAAACAAACCAAGGGTCAAAGAACAAGGAAACAAGAAAAGCACGGCTCAGAACTCTTTAAACGGACACTTTGCAAGGCACAAGCCCAAACAATGGGGTGTATGTATGCTAGTTAATGTCCATGGAAGGAGCTGCAGGTGTGCATGGTTCATAGTAAGCAGAGCTTAAGATGGAGAGCCAATACATAGTCCATGTGCTAACTCTCCTGAAGGGGAAGCCAACGTGGAGTTGGAGTGAACCAGTGTTAAATGGGGCAGGTACAAAATGGAGTCTACCCAGTGGGGGGAGATATTGTGGCAGTTATAAATGGAGAACACATTTGCATGCAAACATGGAATTACTTGCCATATTAAAAGCGGTTATTCAATAATAACGTATACATTGTATACAATAGAGATTGAAATATTATAAACACAAAAATGTGTGAATGGTTTATTCACAATTCTGAGTATCTTGGGAAGAAGAAGAAGTTATGACATGATCAAAAAATAAATATTATTAAATAATAGTATTTATATGGGAATTAGACCTGATAAAATGAACAATGGCTGTAGGTACAAGATGCTTATAATTATATATTGCAATAGTGAACAGTGACTATTAGAGCCAGGCTTTCAATTCGGACCATAAATGTCAACATTACAGACATCCATAGTTTGATTCCCGGAAATTATTAGGCCTTATTATTAGCCTAGAAGACACTAGGGGATCTACACTGACACATTGTTACCACACTGCTCTTAACACTCACACACATCCACCAATATTTACAGTCTTTAGGCCTCACAGACCACCATAAGTTCATTGCAGGTCATTAGAAAGTTCAGTCAACAGTGGAGAAAAAAAAAGCTTCCTCTCCTGAAGATCATGCCTGAAGACACTATCGACACACAGCTCAGTCTAAAATATGAATATGAATGACCCTGTGGCAGTGTGTTGTTTGTTATGTCCAAGCCAGCACTGGATCTTCTTAGCTAGTGAACACCATCAGAAAGATATGAGCTGATCTTAGCAGGCTCAAGCTAATAAGTGCAGTTCTTTATAGATCCTTTGCAAGAGTACTAAGTCAAAACAACACACAGCAACTATACCTCAACTCTCAATCTGCTTGTTTGACACAGTACAGCACTGCACAAGTCAAAGACCACCCTTCCTTTAAAAAAACAAGAGTTTCCAACACTAAAGTACAAAAATAACTGAAAGACATACACTCACTAAGCACTTTATTAGGAGCACTTGCACACCTATTGCACACCACTTATGCAATTGTCTAATCAACAAATCATGTGGCAGCAGTGCATAAAATCAATGCTTCAGGTGATGTTCATACTAATGATGGAAAGATTTAATGAAACATTCTTGATTAATAATCAATAAACTAAATATTGGCTAACTTGAGCATTTGGAGATCTCCTAAAAAAGGTAACATTGGGGAGCAGGCAATAGACTGCATGCATTTGAAATATAACCTCTAAAGAGAATGAACTCAATGAACTCTTGAACTCACAAAAAAGAAACTGTACAAAGTGTAGCTACAAATTATGGCTGAAAGGAAGGGAACTGTTGGATGACAGTATAAACTGTAGCTGAAGTGAAAACTAATAAAAGGGAATTGTATTAGATGACAGTACAAATTATAGCTGAAGTGAACTCCTGAACTCGGGTAAAGAAGCTATGTAAGACGACCCTGTGAGGATGGAACAGTGTGGTACACCAGGTCAGAATGGTTAAAAAAAAAACAAACATCATGAGCGTTTGGTTTTAAGGGTTGCCAAAAAGGGTGCAGGTTTGGGATACAATGGGGACGTATGGAATTGTGAAAAAAGGGGTGGGGTGATTACTTCATCACCCCAAAGGGCAATAAAAGGGATGCCTCGAGATGATATTTGCATTGTGGTTGTCCAGGAACCATCTTGCCACTTAAAGCTCAATAAAGAGAAGGCCTTTTCCTTCCTTCCACTAGAACACAGCGACTGAAGTCTTTTAATTCTTTTTTATTCCTTTTTACCTTTTGTTGATATTCTTTTTGATGATTCCTTTAATTCTTTTTAAAGACGTTAGACTACAGTTAGTCATTAGGGCAATAACATAGAACATATTAGAGATATTCATATATGTCTAGACCCTGGGCAGAAGAGACAGCTCTTGGTCGCAACACTAACCATCAGAATGAGGTAAATATGTGATCTCAGTGATTTTGACCATGGCATTAATGTTGGTGCCAGACAGGCTGGTTTTAATATTTCTGTAACTGCTGATCTACTGGGATTTTTACACACAGCAGTCTCTAGAGTTCACTCAGAATGGTGCAGTAAAGAAAAACACTCAGTGATCAGTAGCTCCAAGGACTGAAATGCCTTGCTGATGAGAATGCCAAGACTGGTTTGAGCTGATGGAAAAACTATAAAAAAGCAGTTAACCACTCTGTTCATTTGTGGTGTTGGAAATAATTTTGATGTATTTTCTAGTTTTCTGTTTACTTTGCTTTGCTTCAATTGTTATTCATTGTTAAACAGTATTAATGCTGAGGGGTTTAAGAAGCCACCTCCATTTCTGTTTTCGTGGTTTGAACAATTACACCAAATGGCCTTACAACACCCCCTAAGAAGGATGTGCTGGGGCAGAACACAGTAAGATATTTACGACAGGATTCAAATGTCCCACGCTGTTCTGTATAACTCTATTGGGGGTGGGGGGTCAGTTGCATGGCATAAAAGCTGTGTGTCTGAGCTGCTGTTCAGATTGGGGTGACACTAAGGCAGGAATACTGAACGTTCTCTTTTTAATAAAACCATCATTATTTCTGCAAACCCCAGTCTCCTGAATCTCTTCCATGGCAAGATTGAAGGTGTACAACAGTGGTAAGAAGAAGGAGTAGGAGGTGGTGTAATGATGTGGAGAGTGTTTTCTTGGCACACTTTGGATTTGTTAATACCAATCAATCATTGCTTGGATGCCACAGCCTATTCAAGTATTGTTGCTAACAATGTGCACACCTTTATGAGCACAATTTACCGTCTTCTAATGGCTACTTTCAGCATGATAATGCACCATGTCACAAAGCAAAATCAATGTACAACGTTCTTCAGTTGTCTTCCCAGTCACTGGGTCTGAATCCAATAGAACATCTTTGAGATATGGAAGAGCTGGAGATTCGCAGCATGAAAGCACACCTGAAATTTTTCCAAAATCTTGTGTAATCCAGGCCTCCAAGAAATTAAGCTGTATTGAGAGCAAAGAGAGGCCCTACCCCGTATTAGTATAGTGTTCCTAATGAAGTGCTCAGTGAGTGTAGAGAAAATGGGACAACTGTGCAAAACCCTGTAGACCATCAAAACTACCACCATCAAATAAACAGCATTTAAAGTTTCATCTTTGAGAGAGAGGATAAAATCAAGCTCCACTCTCGCTTCAGATCTGAAGAAAACCACAGGTGTTTCTGTTCTTCATTCTACTGTGAGAAGACAACAACACTTTTCTGCTAAATGTATTTTTTTTCCTGCTGCTAAAAATCAAAAATGCATATTTACTGGCTACTTTAAATACATAAATGGGTCTCTCACTTTTGCACAGCATTTTATGAATGTACAAAGAGCATGAGCTTCTTTTGTGGATGATGTATTATGAGCCTACAAGTGCTTTGATTTCTCATCATTTTATGTCCACTGCTCTAGTATGACATATGAAATGTTCTTTAATTATATCTCATATTGTCACAAGATATAGCTGCCTTTGTTAACATTCAATGATTCACACCAGCATGATTACTTAAGTATGTGATTTATTCATTTAAATCAGATGATACATAGATCATTGATGTACCATTGACCCAGGTAGCATAACATGTAAATGGTTTCTACAAAATAAAAATAGAAATGTTTATGTTAACATAAGTTTTCATATTTGTATAAAACAGACTTTATTGTATAGTGTCAATGAGTTTGCAGATGACACTGAAGTGCAGTTTAGTACAAAAATACATAGGCGCTACATGAAAAAGCTTCTGTAAGTGCTTTAGCTAGTGATAATAGGCTTCTTTAAACTTGATATTATATATCACAATTATCTGATTATTAATCAACAGTGATAAATATTCAGTAAATCCAGAAACATGGAAAGTTTCTTCAGTGTCCCGCCATGAACTGAGGCTGCTGAGGTGTGTTAGGCAGTGGAGGCTGATAAGCAGGGCTCACAGATGCGTTTACGATCACTTGGGGCTTCTGACGATGCTTTAGCTCTCTGGCTATCTGGCACCAAACACAGACAGCACAGCAGGTGGACACACAGCAGTCATTAAACATCGTGCCCTTAGAAGAGAAAAAACAGCAGGAGAGAGGAATCATATAAACTACAGTACAACATCTACGGAAGTCAAATCAGTCTGGATGGTCTGGACACACACACACAGTTGTAAACAAAGGTCTGAACATCCCTGGTCAAATGACATGTTTTAGTGATTTTCTAAGTGAAAATAAGTCAACACATCCTGTACAGGAAACTTAAATATGTTAATTTTCTATACATTTTAATGTACAAATTCAAATCAAATCACATTCATTGTCACATCACATTTACACAGGTGTGGAGGTGAGTGAAAATCTTAGGTGCATAGCCCCCTTGTACTACTTAAATATACAAAAAATATATAAGAAGAAAAAAAGAACACACATACAGTTGTACACATTTCCATATATGCAATTTTGGAGTTATCTTTATTACATAAAAGAGATGCATATATTCCGGATTATACAAGATATGGATGGAAGATGTACAAGATGTCAATCTATATGTGCAGGCATATATTTGCTAGACGTTACAGTTACAGTAAGATCAGGGTGAGTCTGTTCGAGGTGTGGAAGTGGTGTGGATTGTCCACGGTCATGGTCATGATGATGATGATTCGGAGGTGTAGTGACTATTTCTATTTTTCTGCTAAGTTTAACATATTTAACATTTAAGAGAAAATAACAACACAGTTGAAAGTGCCCATGTCCACTCTCAGGGCAATAACTAAGAAGTTTAAAACAACTGGAGATGTTAAGCATCTGCCAGGAAGAGAACGTACGTCTACACTGAACCCACACTCGAGGAGGGTGGTTTGAGTGGATAAAGAATCTCCAAAGATCACAGCTGAGAAACTGCAGACATGTTAGGTCTTGGGATCAAAATGCCTCCCAAACTATAAATGAATACCATCTATATAACCACAAGTTGTTTGGGGGGGTTGCCAGAAGAAAGCCCTGCTGTCAAGGACCAACAACCTTATTACTCATTGAGGGAGGTGTTTTAAAAATATTTTAAACATTTCAAATTTTAGTTTGGGAAATAAATTCATACATAAACACCTCAATCTCACTATTTGCGTTGCCATGGAAAGCATTTACACTTTGTTTAAGTTAATAAAAAGCATATATTCTAATGACACTGTATACCTCAATACTAATCAATAATTCATCAAGACTTTGTAAAGTAATGTTTCCACTAGGGTTTATATGAATTTAAATACAGCTAAACTGATGTTACAATGCATCCATTCTCCCAGCTCAGAGCGCTGTGTACCTGAATGCGGTATCTCTCTCTCACGGAGCTCCTCATAGCAAAGGTGAGGGGTACCCCAAAGCTTATTTGCACCAGGGGGAGGCAGAAACACTCTCCAAATCTTTCGCTTGTGTTACACATCAAGCAGCAGGGGCACCAGAATCCAAGACAGCCTGTACTGATACAAACGCACAGCATTTGTATAAAGTAACAAAAAGATTAGGTCTTATTAAAAATGAAAAAAATCCAAATGTGATCATTATACTTAAAAATGTCATGAGTGACATTTATTAGTGCATTTTTTTTAAATAAATAAATAAATAAATAAATGAATAAATGTCCCTCATGGGACAAACGAAAATGCAGTGTGATTTACTGATCTGAAGGTGGTGAGGCAACTGCATCAATTTTGGAATGTTGGCAGTGATTATACTAATATTCAATAAGGTATGAACTAACTTTGGCCAAAATCAAATGTGTATACACACACACACACACACACACACACACACACACACACACACACACACATATATATATATATATATATGTAGTATAAAAACATATTTGTCCTCTCGTTGGATGAAGGAGTGCGGTACCATTCTGACGGGCCAAATTAAACGTCCTCACGAGCCAGTTTCTGAATTATTGCAAGCTTAGGACTAACCCATTTAAATAACACAAAGTAATAATATTAATAATAATATTAATATTACAAAAACACAAACTCATGAACTGTCTTGTACTCACACCTATCAGACGCACAAACAAATACACACAGACACTCACAGGTGCTCATGTCCTCGCAGCAGTCACATATCCCGCTGCTCCACTGGCCGGTCTTTGGGCTGTCTGGAGACTGAAACGCTACTGGCTGCATCATAACTGTAGGAACGGCCATCATGACTGCACACACAATGGGACACACAATGACCTCAAAAACCTAACAATGACACTGCAAGAACAAAATTGTTTATATACAGTTGTGTATAGTTTTGTATACAGCAGTCTGCATTACATTCTTAAATAAAGTCATTTAGAGTGTGTTGAAGTAAAATGGTTCATTGTAGAGAGATTTGCAGACTCTTTCTTCACAGTGGTGGTGACAGGTGGTTACCAGGGGTTGCTGTGTCGACAATGCAAATTGAGCCATTTCTTTACTACACATGTCATACATTTTTGCATGTGTGGATGCAGTGACAAATTGTGTTCACAGACAATGGTTTCTGAAAGCTCATGCAGTGATTTCCACTACAGAATAATGTCTGTTTTTAAGGCAGCACTGCCTGACATCCTGAAGATCACACGGTCATCCAGTATTGTTTTTTCAGCCTTGTCGCTTACGTATAGATATTTCTCTGGATTCTCTGAATCTTTTAATGATATTATGTACGGTACACAATGAAGTTCTTTGCTATTTTGCATTGAGAAACATTATTCTTGAATTGTTGAATGCGCAGTCTTTCACAGAGAGGCTAACCCCTCCTCATCTTAATTTCTGAAAGAAAATCGTGAACAACTTGTATGACTGTTGAAGAGTTGGACAGTTTGCAGAGTCATGGCCAATTTGAGTATATACACACAGCAACAAAACCGGCAGATTTTTATGTCAGATCGCATTCATTGCATGAAATCCCCACCCAAAACAGACGGCCATGAAGCTCTGTCTTGTCAGCATTGTTCTCTTGGAAAAGCCCATTAGCCCTGTAGGGCCTGTTTTGCCCCTGTTTATAACAATCAGGAGAAGAAAGCAGTTCTTCTTTCACTGTATGCATCACTAAGGGAAACAGAGCACACATGCTGAAATATGAGATGGTGACATAAAGAGATTTTTGTTCCCTGAAAAGCTCAATATGACATTTGCCCACCTGCTTTTCCTTGCAAATTTACTCTTTAAGCATTGCATTCTAAGCACCTGAAATACATTTGCACTCAGATTCAAATCATGTTGTTTCCTTCTTCCCTGTGTTCCTCTTCCCACTTGGTTCTATAGGCTGTGTGCTGTTTACTTTGAGTTGTATGTTCTTGTTAAACATTATTTAGTTGCATCCGTTATTATAGACCTAAAGAATGAACTAATTGCCAGCAGGGTCAAAATCACAGCCAGAGACTGAAAGAATCAGGATTTGTAAGACACTGCTAAATGAAGTTGTGAGCATGTGGCCCTCCTCCCGAAAACTCTTAATTCAGGTTTTCAATAACCAATAACGTAAAGAGAAATGTTCTGTTACAGCCACAGATCACTATAAGGCTGAAACACACCCTGAATTTACCTTTTTAGTTTATACTATTTTGGCACTAAATGGTCAGGTACCATTTTTTAGCATCTAAAATGTATCTTAAAAAAGTTAAGTGTAAGAATGTAAATGTATAAATTAAAATATCTATAAAAGGACTTCACAAATCCATTACTATGTTTTTTTTAACATTAACTTGCTTATACAATCAAGGATTATGCAGTCTAAAATAATTCTATATAGTGTACATTTGACAGAACTAAATAATCAGAGGATTTATCTTATTCAATCTCTACTAACCTCTAAAAAACACAAATATACACACCTAAACATATTATATTTTGACATACAGCACAGATGTCCAACGTATATTAAATCCCTCCCCAAAAAAAACAAACAAACACACAAATCAATATCAGTAAATATATACAACATAAAGCATGTGAATATCTGATGTATAAACACCAAAAAGGACCTCAAAACGTACCTGTTAACAGTGAGATTTCAGGTAGGTGTGTGCGTGTGTGTGTAGTGAACACAGAGTGGCAGGTCAGCTAAGAGTCTAGCAGGCTGCAGGTGGGTGAAAACGTCAGCAGGATGTGCACAGGTAGAGGAAGGGGGGGGCATAAATGGGTGGCTTTCAAAGGATACTGTGTTATGGTAAACTTCCTATGATAAGGGCATTCAAAACATGGAGGAAAATATTCTCACGAATAGACCAGCTCAAAATGGAATAAGCTCTTATTTATTTACTGATTGTTATACTTCCAAGAAATGCAGTTAAACAGCCTCTCACACAGTTAAACACAACTGAAGATAGATAGAGAGAAAGAGAGAGACAGAGAGAGATAGAGAGAAAGAGAGAGAAAAAACAAGTGAGAGCGAGTGTACTGATGGAGGGAGAGTATAAGAATGCAAAGAGACGATGAAAAAGAAAGAGAAGAAGAGTGTATAAGGGACTAAGAGAGAGATGGAATGAGAGATAGGTGTGTAGAGAGAAAGACGGAGTGAGTGAGAGGGAGAGGGAGAAAGAGAGAGACTGTGGATGGAGGGAGGGTATAAGCAAGCAGAAAGAGAGAGTCAGGTGTTGTTCTGAGATGAGCTGACAGTCTGTAGCGTCATGTGCAGGATGAGGTGACAGGGCATATTTAGACACAGCAGTGTTGATGTTTTTACGAGGACACAAAAACTAAACTCTAATCCCTGGAATGAAGACCTGATTATTACAGCATGGCACCTTTTTTTATTCTGGCAAGTGATGCTCTAATGTTTTGGCTCATTTCGCACTTGAAATGATATCTGTTTTGTGCATAGTATGCACACAACAAAGGAATTTCTGCCCAACACCAATTGATGTTAATTAGTTTGCAGAAGTTTACAAGGAAATTATATTAGACTAGATTTCCTATATCAGGCCTCAAAGGAGAATTCCATCAATTTTTTTCAATTTTCTGAATAATTCAGTCCTTGAGATGTAAACAGATGCATTCAGAGTGGTTTGGTGTGAAATGACTCAGTGTAGAGAAACTTACACACTCAGATTTCTTTAGTGGTGGTGATAGGAACCAGAGGTCCTGATGTCTACAACACAAATATAGCATTTTTATTTACTGTCCAAAACCACCAGTAAACCTACACATGTCTTCGGTGTTTTTATATGTAATGATGATGGTAAAATTGTCATAAATCTGAAAAAATATGTTTTCTTTGAGGACTATTTTTTCTTACAATGCCCTGTGTGTACCCATCTGCCACGAATGGATTAAAATAAATACTATCATAAAAAATGTCTCAGACATCAGGCAGCATATATCTAACCATTTCATGTAACAACTTTCTGTGAAGGAGCTTTCAGAGGCATTAAACTCTTTAGTTGTCTGGTTCCTATCACCATCACTGTGAACAAGTCTGACTCTGTAAGTCTCTCTAGAATGGAGCATTTCACATTAAACCACTCGGAATGATTTGGTTTACAACTTAACCATTTAATTATGTAGAATTTATGAAAAATTGGTGGAGTTCCCCTTTAAATGGCTGTATATCTCCAAAAAAAGCAGGAAAAAATGTATTTTATAACAGGGATGTTCTAACAATTTCTAAAACTCATTGAGCAGTGCAGTCCTACTGCGCACACACATATCAGCAGTATAATGTAGTAACTTTTTACTACTATAGTATGGTAAGTTTTTCAAACCTTATATTGTTTTAATGTTAATTCAGCCTTAATTCAATTGTATTATGCAGACTCAGCTTAATATTACAGTTTATCCTGTGATAAGGTGATTTTGGCTATCAAAACAGCCTACCTATAGTTTTAAGGCTGGTAGCATTTTGTGATTTACATAAAGTTTAATTATGGTTTTATGTTGGAGCTAATTATAAATATGTGCTACATGACAATATTTCAGAACACCAGTAAATCATATAGCACTGCTGTTGGAGCAATGTGTCAAACCTTCATGAGGAATGGACCATTAGAAAAGTGGGGGTAAAGGGGGGTCGGGCTGGAGCCTATCCCAGCACTCTTTGGGCAGAGGGCAAGAAACACCCTGAACAGGTCGCCAGTCCATCACAGGACAGACACACAGACATACACATTCACACATAGGGGCAATTTAGTATTACCAATTGGCCTTAATGCATGTCTTTGGACTGTGGATGGAAGCCCGCACAGACACAGCATACACAGAGTACAGTGTCATTCTGTCTCTACTGCTAAGCCTTATAAGCAAGATAATGAAAAGGATACAGCATCCTGCTTCTCTAAATAAAACAAACACACACAATACACATTTCCTGTTCATTGTCTTGTGTATATAAGCCTAAGGCTGCAGAGAGAATATCACACTGAGCTTTTTTGTATAAGGGTATGTTCACACTTGGCAGGTTTGGTCTGAATTCAAAGGCTCACATCATGGAAAACTGAATTTTCCTTGTTTTTATGAAATGAAAAAGTTTGATGTAAACATGCAAACACTGTTAAAGTTTCAAAACTCTTCAGTTCCTTGTCCATACATGGAGAGCTGCAGAAACAGCTCATTTTTTATTTTTTTTGTTTTCTTTGAGATGTCCCCCAACATTTACATACACCTGTCCATTGTAACAGATTAGTTCCACTCATTCATACTGAAGTTATAAGGAACGTTTTAGCTTGGACGGCTTTTTAAATGAAGCACACTGCAGGCCAACCAATCACAAAGTTCATTTACATATATTAGTATAATATAATTCTAACTGATAAGAAGAAGTTGGAAAATTGTCATGTAACACTTAAAAATGATGTATAAAAACACACACACAAACATCATAAGTAGACCTTAGTAAAATCCAAAAAATATGGGATATGGGCCCTTTATACAAACCCAAGAACCCTAGAGTGCTGATGTTCGAAACCTGCGCACCAAATAAGTGGATCGAGACCCCATGAGGAGGGTATCCCAATTTGCACTGTAAAAATATATGTTTTTTGAACAGGTCATTTCTCTGTATAATTTAAACAGAATTCATTCGTTTGTGCATCTCAGTGTCACTTTACTGTGCTTTGAAGCACGTGTTACTCCACTGCTTACAGCTGCAGCAGAGAGTGCACCAGTCAAATGAGAATAGAGGACAAAACTGCTCCTTCATGCTGAGAGAGCATCTAGCTACCTTTTCACCACAAATATGTGTTGTTAATGACATAACTATATGATAATATTGGGTATAGTATAAACTTACACGTGGCTGCCATATTGAACATTAGCTTAAGCAATTGAATGATTAAAGTAGCTGTTAAGTTAGCGAACAAGCTAGCTTTTAAAGATGTTTTACTGTGACATTTTACAGCAGTGTTAACTACCTTAATCAGTGTCAGCATGTGCAACAGTTTCCTAGAACCGTTAACGTTTGACCGCAGCAGTTTACAGCAATGGACGACCGAACGTTCTGCTCATTCAGCGGTCCATGGTTGCCTGGCAACAATAACATACTCTAAAGGAACTACATTTATTTGCGGAATTCTTGTTCATGTCGATTATTACTAATAATATCTTAAATTATAAACATAAATTGCTTTATTGTGAAACAGAGCTGAGTGAAACCCTTCAAATATAAAGGCCCGTTTAGTTCAGATGGTCATTTACTCTGTAGTTAGTTGTGCTCAGATGACTCAGAGGCTCGGATGGAGCCTCAACATGACTGCGCTGATTAAATTAATGTTAAATGAAATTAAACAGAAACGACTGCAAAGGCGTTTGTAGTTCAGCATGGACCCATGAAAGAGTAAGCTGTAAAACCGCAAGAAGAATCAAACATTAGATGCAGCAGAGATATACAGATGACTATGATAACCAATTTCACCTTTTTTTTTCTTTTTTGGGGGCAGTGAGTGAAGGAACCACCGGCCATTTGAAGTTAGACACAACTGCATGTTTGTTCATCTCTCCATTTTACGCGTCTGTCTCTGTGACCGTTTGAATGTATGACACAGTGGCTGTGTCCGGTATCCCATCCGCCCCTGCAGAACTGGATGAGGGCTGTAGGGGGCGCTGTAGTAACACGGCCGTTTCGTTGCACGAGGACACGTTAGGATGACTGGACATCCCAAGGTCTCCAAATCTGAGCATCCTTATCATGGCCATGGATAGACATTCCCACATCACTGGCGCCCCCAGTTCCGAGTGCCATTTTCACAGTGGAATTCAGTCAAAACATGGAAGGATTTTCGTAAAACATATTTATGTTTATGTTAAGAGAAAAAGAGCCGAATAAAAGAGTAAAAAAGCTCGTCGTGGTGTCACAAATCCATTATTCGCGAGTTGACAGTGCTGGAGCTGTTCTAAAAAGTTTAATGAAATGAAAACGATATAGAATAATTTTATAATTGTTATTTGTTCTACAAAGTATGTTCTTTGACAGTCATGCCAACAAACCTGGTTTGAATGGCTGATAACTCGTGTAGCCAGCAGGGGGCGGCAGACGCCGCTCCAGCTTTCTGACCAGAGTGAACCAAGCAAGACTAGTGAACGTGAACGATAAAAGAGTCTAATAATCTTTAGTGTTTTAGTGAGAAAAGACCACAGAACTCCCGCTGGACATTGTCAGTTTACTGAAGAAAAAATGTGATAATGTTGTAAGACTATCAGTACACAGCAAATATTCTTTTTCCAAAGCAATATTTTACAGAAACACTCTATACAGGTAAACAGCCTGGTTTCCTCCTTATAAATATTGTTATCTGAATGTAAAAAAAGGTTGGTCCTTCTGGAAAGACATCTCACACAATGAAATATAAACTGATCTGTCTTAAAAAAGCAATTTACCATTTCTTCACTACAGACTATATTCATGAACATGTAATTATCTTCTTTATTCTCATCACCAAATACTAAGAACAAACTTGGCAAAACATTGATCTCCTAAACTCAACACTTTTCTGGTTGTAATTAATTTTGTGCTTAAACCTCTTAGACCCGGTTTCGTGAACAAGGCCGTTTCTATGTATAAATGTTTTAAAATTGATAGATTTTAATGTTTATCTCCCAAGATGTGATTTGCCTTTAACTTACATATTTAATATTTTCTAATCCCTAACATTTTTAAAATATTTTTTTTAGTTATTTCCATATGAACAAAGTTTCTTCTTTTTAAAAGTACCACAAGTATGTACATTTCTAATTAGAAAAGACAATAAATAATCATATTTTCAATGTTTTGTAATTTTTCCATTTACACTAGTTCCAGTCGTTTGCAGCCAAGGTGTAGGACATATACAAACTGTTTGAGAGGTCTAAGGCGATTAAAATTGTGTATGGGCATACAACAGATAAACATACAACAGTGCCCTTTGGATTTTTTTGATATATATATATATATATATATATATATATATTTAATTCACAAACAAATCTGGATTTTCTACAGTTTGATTTAAAAAAAATTGGAGTCCCACATGGCTAATAGATTGAATTCAACATGATCAAGGATTTAAAAGAAAGAAAAAAAAATCTGAAGTTGCCTTGTGCTTGATTCTGTAAGGAGCACCCAGAGTACCTTCGAAACGTAGGTTAACTTATGAAACATTCAGAAATGTCTGCCTCATACCTACAGTTTCAGCAATGAAACTTGTGAATTTTCAGGGTGGCAGTATGACCAGAAAAATCAGAAACATCAGAAAAAGGGCACTGTACACTTACATTTTGTCCCCAAGGTACAAATAAGGCAAAGGTACCATCAGTCCTTAAAGCGTAATTATGACCTTAAATGACCCTACATTCACTCTCCTAAGAGAAATACACATTCATAAGCCCCTTTAAAATGCATAATATGGACATTAACTACAGAAATCACGTTAAAATTCAGGCTAGTTCTGGTTTACTTCTGGGCTTTTTAAAGTCTAGTTTAGGGACCTAATCAAGACATATGGTGTTCAAAGGTACCAAACAGAAACTAAATAAAAAACAAACAAATAAACGGCTCATTCCAGAAATAATTTATTTCACTTCAATTTTATTCATTTTTTCTATGATGTGAAAAGAACAACCAAAAAAAAAGTTTGAGAGCAGAAACCAAGATGACAGTAACAACAAGAGCCAACAGGGAGACGCCAATCTCCCGGCTGCGTCTTTTACGACCGCGACAATCAGGAACGCGACAGACATCTTGTTCAGTTTAAACAGCACGGTCTCGCCTGGCCTCCAGGCCACATGGCTGAAACTTCTTGTTTAAACCTCCTCGCCAAGAGACGCAGGAGGTCTAAACTATGTAGTGATAACATTGGAGTGTACTGTATATTCACATACACTGTGCGTGTGCGCGTGTGTGGCTCTCAACTTTTCTGAGGCTGTGCTATTCCCCCCTCCCAACAACGTGCCTTCTTGATCACTAATGTGAGTAAAAACCAACCCCGTGTAGCAGGGGGCACCAGAGGAGTCTTCACCTTCACTATCCCTCAATGGGCATAGAGTGTACGCACCACGTTCTACTGTGGTAGGAAAGTTGCAACTGTGCGCACTGACTTTATCGCACTCGCACACCATCACTTTCAACACTCCCTTCATTCTTCTCCCAGAAACAGTGGTGGGTTTTAGGAGGGGGGGTTAGAGGCACTGAAGTTTGTTTGGATTTCAGAACAGGCTGAAATTAGCACTCTGGGTCTGTAGGTCTATAACGGTTCATCTGTTCCTGATGCAGCCATGCCCAGATAGAGGTGGACACTGTGCCCTTTCCCTACCTGTTTGACTGGAGGGGCTGCATCCCTTCATCCCTCTCTACAGGGTCAGCTCTGAGACCTTGTAACAATTCTTCCAATTGATTTTCTATGGTTGCACTGCTAACAACTACACATATACAAACATACTCGTACACACACGCACACGCGCACACAATAAACGCCGTCCAATTCATGACTCCTACAATGGATGAGCGTTCTTAATTTCTTGTTTGGCATTAGTATTCGATTTTCTATCCAACCTTTCTTCTCCAAGCCTAACCTTGCAATTATTTTCTCTGCCGTCTTCTCATCTCCTTAAAATAAAAAACAAAACAAAATTAAGGAACAGCTTATTTAGTCCCATGAACAAAAAATTATTCTAACAAAAAAGTGAATACTCAAGTTTTTTTTTTTTCAAATTCAAGGCACAATGTCTCCTTTTCCTTAGACGCCCTTAATCTCAGAGTACCAAACGCCTCAGCTGTCAGTCACATGAGAGGCTCCGCCTACATTCCTGCCTCTCGGCTAGCTCATCCCCTCGCCGCTAACACTGTTTCAGAGATGCATCTGTTTGGGAGTGTGATCACAATCCCACACCAGTGAAGGAGATTAAAAAAAAAAAAAACAAAAAAAAACAAACAAAAAACAACGACATCAACGACAGTGACAAGAAAAAAAAACAAAACAAAAAACAAACACCAAACCGTTTCTCCAAAATAAAAACAAAGAGTCACGTCCTGTGTTCAGTTACGTCAGATTTTCGAATCATATCCACCAGCTCTTTTTTGGCAAGCTTGTCTTAAATAAGCACTAAGTACTGATAGATAGGATAAACATACACCATTACGTGTTTTTAAGTAGATGCGTTTGTCATTTTTTTGTATTTTTCTTTTTCTCCTTGTAATCTCGTATGAATTCAAGATTTTTAGTCGATTTTCACTCGTCTGTTTAAAGGTTTACGTAAATGCAAGCAGGGACAGATCGCCGTAGTGTCTTGCTCTAGACGTGGGTCTTGAGGGGTGAGATGACGCTTTGTATTTTTCAATTTACGAGACGCCATTCACCAGGGTCAGAGCCTCCCCAGATGATGCCACGCCGTTGCTAGGAGAACGCTTTGAGGGGACAAGATCTTCCTTCTTCACACTAGTCCCATTCTCCTGTTGAAAGAATCAATGAGTTGCTGGATTAAATGCCAGAATTTTACCCTTAAGCCTTATCTTGCACTTTGGGCGCAGAGCAGGGGAACCTAGCATTGCTTTTACTGCATCCTTGATGAACACTCCTCATTCAGTTTATGAACGGGTAAACAAAACAAGGAAACCACAGAACTATGTAGTGCATGAAAGACTACACCCAGGAACATACTACGGTGCAATATACTAAAAGTGTTAGTTGTTTATTCTGTACCTTAGGATGGGAGGCATGCTGCATTTCTTCTTTCTTTACTGGAAGGTTCTGTCGGCTCTGAGATTCTGCTCGAGAGATGAAGTCGGCCACAGTAACTGCAAAATGATAAAACAAACAAACAAAATGTAACATACACTAAACTTCCAAGGCAGGCTGGAATGATGACAGACACCATATGCTACCTTACCTGTTACCTAAAAGATGTACAAAAGCATGTAGCTTAACCAAAACACTAGTAGCTGCAGCAATCTTAATCTGAATTTTGGCTATAGTTTTATCAGTATCTGAAATCGTGTAAACAAGTCAGTTTCAGGTCAGGTTGCTTAACAATGTGACCGTTTGAAGTAAGCATGTAAATTTAGGCATGCAGCCTGCTCAGTGCTTATTACTGGTGGTATAAGCTTTTATTACTTGTTAGTTATATCAGCCTTGTATCTCCAGTGTAACTAAAGAACTTAAGAAGTGAACTTCAGTCATCATGTCATGGCTGATCAGCTACGTTTAGATTAAGATGAAGATTGTGTAAATTAGATTTTTTGTGCCAAAATATTAATTCAATTCTGTAAAAGCCCTGTAATGATATTTGCACTACAATCAACACTGGCATTCCAGCATTTCCATAGGGAAAGGAAAGGACTAAGTAAAGATGTTTAATGTATTACTTTAAAACTTGTCCACTCACCTGGCTGCCTGTCACGGCTGGCAGAACCTCCCTCAGGACGGTTGCCACGGTTACGGCGGCGCCGGCTTCTGTTGCGCCGCTGGGGCTTACTTTCATCTTCTGAAAAAAACAGCAAAGCACATTTACCTAAAATATTTTATTAAAAAAAAGCAAGATTGAAAGAAATCATATGCTGATCAGAGCACTATAAACTCCACAGTGATTGGAGCACTATAAAAGTCCATTCTTTGCTTTCTTACCCAATCCATTCTCACTAGTAGCGGCCTGGCCATCGGATTCGTTGGCGGCTGCATCCATCACGCTGGGTTCCTGGTCGTTGCGGCGACGGCGGGAGCGTCTCCTGTGGTCACTGCCACCCATGCTCTCACTGGCATCTGTATCTCCACCCAGATCACCCTCACCCTCCAACAGTGAGTAGGGGTTGCTGTCAGGGTCCCTCAGCACTGGTAATAGAGTGTGAGAAAGTCAGAGACACAAATACACACACAGTTGATAGTGATGCTATCCCAGACACAATCTGCTCATAGAGATTTACACACAGCACGTTTTCTTTTCCAACACCAATAGTGAAACCTTGAGTATCAGCTGATACTGAGCCAACACTTTTTTTCCTTAAAAATTACTAAGCTTTAAATGGATCATGTTTAATTGAGGCACTTCACTTAAGATGAGGATCTCAAAAGTAGGCTATCATGCTTAAACACTACTTCCCCCATAGGAAGAATGTGAGCATGTGCTATTTCAGGCTAAATGTGTTACAGAATTAGGGCTGAACGATTTAGGGAAAATATCAAATTACACTGTTTCGGACCAATACTGCAACTGCAAACCAAATTGTGATTATTTTCTAAAATTAAGTCCAGGCCTACTTTTTTTGGCCAAGACTACCAGCCCTTGTTCTGGCTTGAGGCTTTAATACTGAACAGGATTCCAGACAACCAGTTAGTTGTGGTTGTGTGTCATGTGCACAGTAAATGGGTGTTTGGTTGCTTCTGAACAGTTCTAACTCATCTACAGGCGGTTTGGAAGCTCCATGGTACTAGGTTAATGTTACCACCTTAAATTTCTCAAGTTGTTGACAATGTTGAGCATAATTAAAATAGTGGTTCTTGCCATTCTGAAACTTGCACTATTTCAAAATGAGATTGCATGCATAAAAACTACTCATTTTTCAGCACTACACAGGACTGGATCAGATTAACTGTTTTCCTGCTGATATCAGCCGGATACAGATACCTGGTACCACACTGGTGCCATCTCCAATTTCATTTCTGATAAACATCAATTCTCAGCCCATAACATACCATACACACCACTTAACCACACAAACAGAGAGAAGCTATCCAAGTTAGGCACCTGAGCTGATGGTGATGGAACTGCGGGTTCCTGGGCCTCCGCGGCCTCTGCCGGTGCTGGATCCACGACCACGACCTCCTCTCCTGGAGCCCCTCTCCTCTCCTCCAACCCCCCGGGGCCTGGGCTCTCGCTCCCCCAGCTCCTCAGTTTCAGATGCATTGGACAGCTCAGAGTTCGTTCCTGTTGGGGCAAACAGTAGAACAAGATTTAAAAACACTCAAAATTAAATTTGTTCAGTGAATGCACCTGCAGCAAAAAATTGCCATGGTCAAGAAGTGCCCCTGCCTTGCAAGTTCTATTTTTTTCCCATGCTTCAACACACCCGATTCAGCTACAATGAATCAAGCTAATTAACAAGCAGTTCCTTTTAAAGAAATGAAAAACATTACTCATACCCATAGAGAAGTCATTGGTCATATCCAAACCATGTCTGCCCGTTTTACATGTTTTAGTAATTTCTAAAACATGCCTCCAAGATGTAAACCTCACCATAACCAGAGTATGCATTGGCCTTGCGTCCACGCCCGCGTCCGCCATATGTGCGTGACGTCTGGAGAGAGTTGCTGCTCTCATCAGTCAGGTAGCCTCTTTCCCGGTCTCCGGTGCTGGCCGCTCCAGTGCGGCTCGGGGGCGCACGGTAACCCACACCAATCTGACGAAGCTGCTCATCAATCTGCAGCCGCTCCAGACGCAACTGCTCTACCTCCTATCAGTATGGCAGAGTGAGAAAACTATTAGTGTTGATCATAAATGAAGTTCAGACCAGATGAAAACATGGCCTCCAAAAGAGGAAGAATGTATAAAAGTGCTAGATTCCTACACTGGGATATAATATGCAGCCAATAGTATGGATGAGAGTGCTGCAGAGATGACTGCCAGGGAGAAAGGCATTGTGAAGTTGGGCTCAAGCACACAGCAGTTAGTAAGGTGGGTTTCAGTAAGCGGAAATGTATGTGTGCTGGTGTAAGAGAGAGAAGAGGTCACTGCAGAATGTGACAGCTGCCTCGTTCAAACAACAGCTGAAGACTGAAGGAGGGTGCAGTGAGGGCTAGTGGAGAGGACTAAGGGGCTATTCTGAGAAGCAGACATCCACATAGGCCAAAATCCATCCCCCAACCTACCCCCTCCACCTAACTACCCCCCTGGCAGGGGCATAAGGGCTATTATTAGCAGCAGTTGGTGGTTAAAGGAGAGAGGTGTGATCAGCAGCTTTCCATGAGGGAGGAGGTCAGGTGACCAGTCTAGAAAGATCTGCCATTTTCAGTGCTACAATTTACTACGCTACAGTGAGTCTAACATGGCTGCCCAGCATCTCTGTATATACACTGGTTACATGTCTGTAATCAAAACTATGTCTGTGTAACCAATTTAGAAAATAAGAAGGCATCCAAACAGGTTATTTGGCCCCCTGTCCCCTTCTTCAAGTAGAATTTATTGTATAAGTATACATTGGCTGATATGGACCAAATCATTTTATTTTATTTATTTATTTATTTATTTATTTATTTTTTTTTTTAGTGAAAAGCCTTTCAGTCAGACAAATGGGCACAGCATAAATATCAGTTATGAGAGAGCATCTGGATCACAAGCTAACCTGCAGGTAGGCCACATGGTACTCCAGTAGGGCCTGGGCATTACTGATGTTTTCCTTGGTTCCTACAAAGATGAAGGGAACCATACCCTGAGAAAAAAAGGAAAGAGGAACACAAAAAACAGTAGTATGTTATAGTCTTAAACATACACAGGTTAGGACAAATGTCAAACACTGAACATATATACACTTATATAAAACACAAGGAAACACAATTTGATTTATGGTGTGTAGTTGTGGCCCACTAGTCAATATGTCTTTATCTGTCAAAACTACTGAGGTGGGGAGGGAGGGGTGTTGGAGTATCAGGTAGGCGGTTCATTCACCTCTTGGCTGTCGACAGTGTCTGCACTGCCAGACGCCTGCCTGCCTACCTCCTCCCTGGGCAGCTTTTTGTCATTGTCCCCTTCGATCCGAACTCGTACCACACCCGATTTGTCCACAATCTCTTGGATGATTTTGCCACTTTTGCCAATAACTTTGCCTGTATGATGAGACAGAGAGAGGTGTCATGACCAAAAAAAAATGTAAAAAGCTTATGGCACTTTCAGCTGTTCTTGCCCAATTTAAGATGTTCATCAGCTGCTGCATTCGGTTATTCTAAAGGAAGTCTGCAGGGCACTTACCTACAAGATTCCTCGGCACCTGAAAGGAATCTTCTTTAAACTCCAGATACGCCCTGGCCTGCTTCACAGCTTCTGGGGTCTGACAGAGTAATAGAGTGAAGTGAGATACAGACAGTGAGAAAACATTCAGTTATTCTACATACAGAGTAGGTGAAAGTGCCTTATATTTTCAGAACCGATTCTTATTCTGGGCTCTGTGTGTCTCCATATACATGACAATTCTTGTCGAGTATATGGACGGCTGTCCATATTCCAAGCATTAGTAGCAATGACTATGACATACACAACCTTTTAAATACATTTACTTTACTGAACTTCACAGAAGTTAATTCGGAATGGAACTTTCAGAAAGAGTCAGCTTTCTCTCTCTCATGGTCTCTCGCACTCTCTCCCATTAAAACCAGAAATATACAATGATATTGGAATCAGCAGATGTTTATGTATAAACATAATTACATAATATAAATAATACTAATGAATATGTTCAGATTTGACCGATATTTCAAATCAATAATTTGTTGTAGTCCAGAAGAGCAGAATGTTTAGGCAACGCAAGGCTACTGTGCTAAAATTTCTACTTTTTATTAATTTTTCTGCATTTGTAACCCTACTCTGCGTTTGAAATTTCTTTTTGATCATGAGTAGAGCAATGAGTTTAATAACCACTGGTAAAAGGAGCCATAACATGTACGTTCATAAATCTAATGTTCAGTAAGATCAAAGATTTATGAAGGAGGAGACAGTTCACTGTTTGAAATCAAAGGGAAAGCTTGTAACGCTCAACATGGCATCTGTTTACTAGGAATGTCTCACCTTCTTGGTAAAGGCATAAGTAAGAAAAGTTCTCCCTTGTCACAGAGACCTGGAAAAACACATTTTGACTGGTATTTGAGCCAAATGCTACAAACTGTGTGTCAGATTTTACCAGTGATTTCAAAAATGCTAATTTATAGATCCCTCCCTATCCAAAAAAACAAATGCCCAGGTGCATTGCCAAGATGGCCACTGAGGACAGACCTTCCTATAGGGACCTTGGTAACACTACAGTGGTCATCACTACTGCTGCTAGGTTAATTTCCCCTTCATACACATACCTCTCCATAGATTCTGAAGGTGCAGCTCTCCTCCTCAAGTTCAATGGCAGTGACACCGGGGACTTTGCGGGCCTGCTGGATGTTGGCACCGTGGGATCCGATGGCCAAACCCATTAGATCTTCCCGCACCCGCACCTCCTCCTGATAGGCCGATGCCAGCTGCTTACTTGTCTGTGGCACACAAAGGGACAGGAGAGACATTATTCTGTATCTAAGCAGAGAGTGTAGATTTTAATCCCTGTAGCATTTGCAAGCATGGATTGTGATTCCTGTAGGAGCTGCAGAACTGAGACCGTTTAACATTCATTTCCAAAACATCTCTGCACTATTCAGTTCATCTAGTTCATCCTTTAGTAGTTGGATATTAGTGAACACCAAACTATCCAATGTAAGGAAAATATTTATATATGTACTGTCATTTTACAGTGGGTAAAATATGGCAGTACATATCAGTGGCACAATAAATATCAAAATTCATAACTGCTCAATTTGAATGAGTTTGTGCATACCTCTAAGTGTTTGGTGGCCTCCTCATTACGGGACATAAGCATGAGTTTGGTGCGAATACTGCGGAAGTGCATGTCACTCAGAAGACCTGCACGCTTTACTGTGGATTCGTTCGTGGACTGGAGAGAAAGAGCATATCTTGTTACACTACTGCATGCCCAAGCAAAAAAAACAATTACAAGAAATTAAGAAAGAAAGAAGAGAAAAGAATGAAGGGGACTCACCAGTACGACCAGTTCGTTTATGGAAGTGTTGTAGAAGATGCAGCTGGCTCCAATTGCTTTCCTGAAGTCTTTGTGGATGTTTTCATTTAAACAGCTGCCAAATTAAATCAGAAGGGAAATACATAAATAAATAAATATCATTCTTATTCTTATTATTATTATGACACTCCTCCCAAGCTACCAACAGACAGACTGACTGTACACCAAATCCCAGAGAATGTGTTGGTATGAGTGTGCCACACTCACATTTCTCTGAGGTCCTCGGGCACGGCGACGGTGACTTTGTAGAAGGTGGTGCGACTGGAGGGGCTGTTGGGGTTGACTGGCCGGATTCGTTCTGAAGTGACTATTTCATTATATGTGGCGTCACATGCAGCATACTCGATCACATAGAACTGAGGAGGCAAAATGCATCCATTAACTCTCTTTAAAATGCTCACAGATCAATACTGATCAGTTCTAGCAGTTGTACATTGCATAGAACGACACAATGCATATATGTATGAAATGTAAAATAATCTCCATCAATAGCATTTATAGGCGTACTGTAACCTTACTTATCAACAGAAAAGCTCACAGGAACATCAGAGACCAACCATCATTTATTTAATTTTCAGGAAAAATGGTCATTAAGTACAAATTACTGATTTTTCAGGAGATATTTCTGAGAACATTAGATACAGTATAATCAACTTGCAAAAGCAAGGCAAAATTCAAAGGAAAATACGTGAAAAAACAGGAGTTTCCAAAACAAAAATACTACTTAAATATAAACTAAATGGGACACCTTTCAAACAGATGTCAAAAAAATAAATAAACATTGTGACCTAATGTATCAAAAACTTCTTGAAGTATTGTGATAAACTTTTGCCATATCCCTCCTCTACACAATGCTATGCGTCTGAAAGGATGTGTAACTGTCAAGAAGCTGTTACTAAGAAAAAGAAAAAAAGAAAAAAGAAGCTGCTGGTGTTCTCAAAACAATGGACTGACAACCCCAGTGTCCAGACCTCAACATCAATAAATGTGTTACGTGGATTGTAAGAAACAAAAAAAATACAACCAACTTCTTAGACTGAACTTAGAGTCAAGTTGTAAAGAAGGCAAAGGGTGGACACGCTAAATATTGAATGTTGATACAATATTTAGTTGTCAAGGCTTCTGTGGGATTTTCTGCTAATTCTGTTTTTCCTGAAGCTGAAATGACTGACTGTTTTAACAGGAAATTATGTGGTCTCTGACTTTTGCACAGTTCTGTAACATACTTCAATTATTTGTACAAATAAACAGTGTGAACTGCTTTTGCAAAAGGCACACAAGACATTGTACTAACAACGCCATCGTTCAAGCACAGACACACTTTAAACTCCATCAACCAAAGAAGCTCAAAGACCCCATTGTGTTGTGTGTTAAACCTTTAACTCAGAACGACAGTCATTAGTCTTGGGGTCAAGCGTTGACTGGGTTGATAAATGGAGTACCAAACAATGTGCAGAGCCCTGGAATGAGACTATCCATGGTAGGATTTACATTTTGTTAAGATTTACATTTTGTTCATTGACTATATTAATCCATTTATTTACAGCTGGATAAATGCTTTTATGCTAATGCAGGACCGGCCCCATTTACTGAAATTACATAACGTACATCGTTATGAGCAAAAAAAAAAAAAGCAGGGCAAAAGGGCAATTGTCTAACATCCTAAAACGCTAATCAACAGACACCCAAGCCTAAACATGTGTTTGTCTGCCCAATGATGAAAGTGGCTGAGAGGACAGACAGCTGCCTGCACTTCATGTTATACTAGAAGAGCCTTTAATGCTTTGCTGCATTACCCAATGTGCTGTCTTAACCTAATTAGTCAGGCTGCGTATGTGTCTGTGTGTATGCGGTAGCGAGTTGGCCCAGGTGCTAGGGACAGACCACTGGAGATGTGAAAAAGGAGCCAAGTGTTTTGCTATCTGTAGGGTTTTACACTAGAGACAGCTGCAGCATACACCGATTCCAACGGTTTTGCTCTGCATCAGACCTGCCTTGGACAGCATGCATCATTGTGTCTGTGTTGCACAGAGAGCGCGCTCACTGTGATAGATTTTACTGGTGTGCTGTTGTGTTAGCCCCTAAGCCAAGAGGTCTAATTCACAGAGTGGGGGATATCTTCAAGCACTGCACACTCAATTTTGCTGGATGATTTAAAATATGTTTGAGCATCCTGAGACACTATAGACAGAGTCCCAAGACAGGCCAAGCGTTTCAGTAGATTTCAAATGATTTGAGGTCAAATTTGCTCCAGCGTGCATAATTCTGTTATCGCACATGAAGTCATATCATCTAAGTGGCGAGTTTTTGGGTAATTGGGTCAAAGCTGCATGTATCTGTGATATTAGGCTGAGATGTGCCCCCAAAAGGGTTGAAACAGTCAATCAATATTCATATCCCAGGACTGTGTGTGCATCTGGTAAAAGCACACCTCAGCAGTGCAGAAATGAGCCCTACAGCTGGGATTCCAGTTTAAGACCTAGCAGTACCAGAGCTGATATGGACAATATTGTGAGTATTGCAATATCTGAAAAACAATAATTTTTCCAAATAAACTATTCCCAGAGGGAGCTTATCACTCTAGGAGGGCTGGCCCAAAAAAACTAAATACTTGTCACATTGATAGGCTATTAGTTTCCTTATGTAACATTTGGAAGTTTTGTTTTTTGTTAAGCCTTTAGACCCAAACAGATTTCTAAAACACATTTGTGGATTCCTGACAATTTTGGAGAAAGAGTTGTCACTGTTCTAATCAAAACATCATAAAACCAGGAGAAATGGCAATTACCTTATGAAGGATGTGATATACTATAGAAAAATAAGTTATGCCATAAAGAGGTAACATTAGCTAAAGGGGCTGAATACGGCTACACTCCCATCACGTTTTCGCAATGTTCTTTGAGCTGAAGCAAGACATGCAAGTGAAAAATATTAAATGGCAAACAATGTTTACCCATAGTCTTGTTGTCTTATTTGCATTATTAGCCCAAATTATTCAATGCTTGTTGGATCATGTAAATTTTTTAAATTTCTTTAAAATGGGACTGCCCTAACTTTGTCTTGGGCAGCCAAAGTGCATTGCTGATGGTGGGCCAAGGGGCAAAAAGACAAATCTAACTTTAAAAATGTATTTTAAAACATTATACTACATTTTGTTACTAAAATACTTCAAAATATCCAAAATATTGTCTGAAATTAAAACAACAAAAAAAAAAAAGTTATATACTTAGTTATATAAAAGTTATATAAAAATCATGCTAATAACACCTCTATAAATCAATTTATGAGAATTTTTGTGATATTGTATCTTTATTTAGTTCAGTGGGTTTCATGCCGCAACAGGAAATTTGGAAATTTACACGGTGGGGTATTTGCTTATTGGTCAGAAACTTTGCAGGGATGCAATCACTCTGTTGCTGTCACATTAACCGCTGTGAAAATATACATAGAAAATATAAACCCTGAACACGAGTGGAGTTTTCACATGGCAAAACGAATGGAACTAAAGAAAAAGTTCCACAGGTACACACCAAACAAGGTAAAAGTGACAGAGACCTTGGTATAACAAAGTAGCAGTCAGAAATATTAAAGTTGATGTTTAGTAAATTCAAACTGTGGCCCACTGCATACGTTTGTGTATCGCAGTAAAAACATTTTTACTGGGTCAGTGAGCTGCAGCTCCTCTCACTCAATATGAGCTCATGAAGGCTTTTTCAGAACAGCTGAAACAGAATTTCTGATTGGTTCTGCCAATGAGTATGACACTCTCTTTATTTGCGTCTATTGGTCAGCACTCTGTGTAGCTTCTTTATGATTTAATCGCCCTGAACTCAATCAGAAAGTGGTGAGTCATTGCCACAGGACTTTGAAAAGTGGCAGGTCTTTGCTCTGCCCTGTTGTTCTGGTGGCACTGGGCCAAATCAGATGCCCTCACAGGCAACTTTGTTGAGGGAAGAATGGCAGTCTTTCCTGTTGCTATGCAACTCTGTAACTGTTTGGATACCTAGCATAATCAAGTATTTAGTGTTCTCCTCTGAGTGCAGTGAGGCAATGTGATGTGGCTCACTCCTTGAAAACAGTCCATGTTAAGCTTCATGTGCACTGAATGTGTCTGCTTTCTTTCTCAGATTACATGCAGGATTTCTTCTACAACAATGCACAGAGCTACAACTGGCTGCAAGATATCAGTTGTGAATTCCACAGCTGAATAAATACCACACATCTTGCCCCATCAGTCCCTGACTCACCTCGCCCTTCATCATTCGCACCCTCGCCAGCCACCAACCACAGGGTTCCTGCTCGTTCGCTCGGGAGTACACCTGACACAAAAAGCACAAAGACATAAGTAGATCAGCATATGTATATGGGTAAGTGCAGAGAGTGAGTTTCAACCTAACACTGCACTGTGTGCACATTTTGTCTGCACAACAGATCAGACACCCTCAAACATAGTGCCACAAGTTTGGAGGTGTCTTGGTGGGGAAAGTCGGTAACAAATAAATAAAATAAACATGGCAGCATCTGCCGTTGACTTGGATAGACAGGAAAGAAACAAAACAGCAGCTGCAGATATGAGCTTCAGGTAAAATCAAAGGCAGCAGGCGTCATAAAAGCGTTTCCAAAATGTTGGCCTCTCTCGCTTGCAGTTCATACCAGCTGCCAGGTTGCAAACAAATTGTGAAAAGAAGGTGGTCTCTGACACTAAGAGTTAACAGAAGAGTGTGAAGTTTAGGGTGTCACCTAGAGAAGGAGGTAGTTTCAGGGTGAGAGCAGGCATACCTCCACTTCCTCTCCCTCGCCAATGTCCTTGCTGTAATCGGTTGGAGGTGGCAACCGCACATCGCTAAACGGCAGCTGTCTCTCTGGTTGCCAGCTATTAGAGAGAACACGCACACACAAAGAAGGACAAATTACCACCAGGAAACATGTCACCTTTCACCTGCTAAATCCTTGGTTATTAACTGCTCAAGCTCCAAGGATGCAAAAAATATATCACGATACTTAGACATTTTCATAATGTATGACAAGCATAATAATATTTTGTTTTTCTAAAGTTTGTGAGTAAGTTGAACGGTAGTGTCACATTAAGAAGGATTAGGAAAAAATGGAAAGTACAAAGTTTTTTTAATTCCACATTTGCAAAAAGAAAGCTATTTAAAAATGTGGAAGAATTAAACAATTATTTTGGTAAAAATTAGGGATGCACTGAAATAGGAACTGTGGGCTGCTGTAGAAACTGGGACTATACTTGGATTACTGCTATGGAGAAATAACACTTATTTCTGTAAGGTTATGAATGCAAATAAAAGACATTCTGCTCTTCTAGAGTACAATAAATATATCATCAAATATCCATTAGTAAAAATAAGACAACAGCATAACTGTCTCCATAATCAGCTACTTACTACAATGCATGAACAATATACTGTTCTTTAAAGGCTCTATCTTAAAACAAGACTGCATCTCAGACCTCAACACTCACAAAGGCGCCAATGAAATAGTCTGCCTCTCTCTCAATCTCACAGACACATACACACACAAACACATACACAGCCAGAGCTTGTCGTGTAGGTTGAGTCATCCTTAAACATGCTGGGTCAGGGAAAAAACATTACGATTGGAGTACCCACTCTTTGTCCCATTGAAATAAAATTATGATTTATGCCCAGAAATACAAATGTTTTCATCTATCTTCTTATGTTATTCCTTACCATTCATCAGAACACAGATGAATAAAAAACACTGAACTACATGCAAAGACCAACACAAGAGCAGAATGACAACAGTGGAAATGGTTGCACACAGGTCAAAAGAACCCTCCCTAGAATGGTAGGGGCACTGCACTTCCTCCTGATCCACATACCCCACAAGGCTATTTCTGGCTCTCCCCCATGCAGAGAGATAAGCACAGAAATAGAGAGAAATAGACAGACTAGGGGAGAGAGAGAAAGAGAATGAGTGAGTGAGAGAGAAAGAGCGAGAGAGAAGGAATGAGAACTGCAAAAGATGACAGAAACCAATGAAAATGGAGAAGGAAGAAAGATAGACAGACAGAGAGTTGGTGGCAGGGTACAGAAGAAAGAAAAGGAGCAGGAGTTTGGAAAAGAGAGAGACAGAGACAGAGAGCGAGAGAGGCTTAAGGAAGGTCAAACGAGGGTTCAACCAGTCAGATAGATATCCACCCAGAGATATTAGCTGAGACAAGTGAACTTACTTGTTTTCAAAGACTATTGTGAGGGAGTCTTCATGAACATCTTTGACGAATCCCTGAAAGAACACAAAGAGAAAAAGAGCTTCAGAGAGATAACATTTAACAATGCTAATGCAGCACTAAACAGCAAACTTTCTCGAAGGGGGAAAAAAAACAAAAGTATCTCGCAAACGCAACCAAATTGGGATCTCTTATTGCAGTAAAGGTTTCCTGACAGTGGAGGTTTATAGTGCTGGTGGTACTGACAAAATTGAACGTCACTGATATCTTCTAAATATACCAAGGTATCAGATGATATTCAGGTTTGCATTCATAAAAATCAATGAACCCATGTTTGCTGAGTGCTGATACTTTACGTTACAAAAAAAAAGTCTTACAAACCTCGACTAAAATGCTCATAGTATTGTAAGCATTAGACAGAAAACAGATTTTGATGAAAGGAAAATGTGTCATTTATTTAGTTTTTATGCATTAATGGTCTTACAAAAAATCTGTACCATTTAAATGTAAATGACTGCAGTTAACCAAGTTTTCATTATCTATCACTGACACACAAAAAAAAAAAAATTCAATATTGCTGAATGACCTCAATACAGGTATAGCCTACATATCGCACAGCACTAAAAGTGTGAATAGGTGATTTTAAGAGAAGGCAGGATAACCGTCATGCAAGTCTTTCTCTATATTTATAGGCATCTCTGGTTTCAAAAGAGACCCTCTTCAGGGAGTCCACTTACAGCAAAGTCAGGTCTTATATACGGATGAAAACACACACACACACACACACACACACACACACACACACACACACACACACAAAAATGGTGTGTGTAGGAACAGGCAATTTGGCACATGTCACAGTTATAGTATGTGACCACTAGGGAACGTGAAATATGTATTAGGGTGAATCTCCTATCATTATGATGGGAACACACCGAGTGAGGTGCAGACAGTAAGGACCCCTCCTCAAAACCTGTTTCTCACCCATCATGCAACCCCACAAATCTATTCGGACATTCCTCCAGTCCCCTCCCCCAGCACTAACACCCAGTGTGAGTGACGGCACTGGCAGAGTGACACTGCCTAATATGGGACAGGGAAGGTGGGAGAGAGGAAGAGAGAGTGAAAGAGTAAATGAAGAGCTACACATCACACTTGCTTGGAAGAGAGCCCTCTTCCCTGGAAAAATGGTCACTGGTCTCAGATTAAAACGTATGCACAGATATACATAGTCTCAGCTCACTTTCACTGTACAACGTTATGCAGTTTCTTGTTCTTTACATAAAAGATTAACATATTTAAAAATGAATAAACAAATAAAGTCAATCAGTAAATCTTCAACTTATTTTCTCCATGGCAACCTAAACTTTCTTTAAGAGCTATTTAGACTCCCTAAAAAAATAATATTTTATATATATATATATAATATATATATATATATATAAAACAAGATTGTATTTAAATGTTAGCTTATATGTATGAGCATTATAAAAAACTTGCAAATGTCAAATTCATCCCAAGCAGGCTGACAGCAAATAAGGATTCCAATCATAAACACAGCCCAATGGATTAAAGCAATCTACTGTGGGACAAAGTGGCACACTTTTTACAGAGCTATGTGCACTACTGTAGTCATGTTGGGACAACAGAACACTGCATGCTAAGGGAAAAGTAACAGAGCACTCCAGCATGTCCCCGTCATTTGCCACACCTCTTTAGTTAGAACGCAGCCAACCCTTTTTAGTCTCACATCTCTGTGAACATTACGCCAGGGAATCGCTGCACCAATCGGTTACTCAGGAGCAAAGCTCTCTGGCCATGTGGCTACCTTGACCGTCCAAGTACCACACGTGGCTGCAGAAGGGCACTTAGGCCTAGGAAACCCTGACCATTATGGGTAGCCTACTTTTGATTCCCCTAAAGAAACTTTGGAAAAATTAAGGAAACTTAAATCGATCAGCTTGGCCATCATTTTCAATTTAGCTGGTACACCTTTGCAATTCAAGCATGCAAACAGCACCAGAGAGTGCAAAATGGAGGCTTTATATCTCAGTTCTAAAAGTGCTACATCTCCTAAAACAGTGCTTTATGTACAGCAGTTTTTTTATTCACATAAAAAATAAATTAAAAATGTCGGTAACCATTACAGACTTGATAAAGCAAGAAGAACCTATCTTATTTTCAGCCTTCAATGACATTGTAATAAACCTCAGGAAAGTTATTGTCTTATTGGCGGCTCCCAAGCACCTATGCTTACTGAACCAAGATTTTTTACTTTCAATTTAGGTTTAAAATTAATGGGTTACACAGAATATGACTGAGTTCATGTCTTACATTAATTCGAATAGAGTTAAAGTTACTCCCACAGAGCAGAACTGGATTCATTCAACTCAACAGCGGTGATTCGACCGAGGCCTGGGGGGGTTGGGGAGCGGCTGTGGAGAGTGAGTGTTGAGTGTCAGGCCTGACATCACCTGTTCCTGTCCCACCTGCTTTGGTCCCTCAGAGTGAAACCTTCAGAGAGCCATTGGCATAAAACGTGTGCAGCTCCACCACTACTACTGCAAACATGAAACTTGTGACATAACCAATCCAAAGATACACAAGTATGACCCCCCTGATTCCATGAGGCCTGAAATGGAGAGCCACTGCTAGATCAAATGAAATGAGCTCCTTAAAGACAAGCCTATAAGATATCATCAAATAAGGGTACCCTTTTGAAAACATTTACTCTAGAGATCCTAACTAACCACACAAAGATTTACAGCCCACTACCAGAGTCTATATTCAAAAACCACCACAGGCGTGTGAGGGCTGATCTAGAATCAGTTTTCAAAACAATTACAGTCATGAATATGGAGGAACCTGAAGACCAGCCTTCGAGCTTACAACTGCTTTTTCAATACAAGCCCAGGTGAGTAACAGCAAAAGCCTCCTCAGTCTCAGTCTGGCTGACCTCAGTTGACTTGATTCTGATTCAAGATGATGGACTGGCAACCTGTCCAGGGTGTTTCCTGCCTTCCACCCAGTGACCACTGGGATAGGATCCAGCACCCCACCCCGTGACCCAGAAGGACAAGCAGTAATGTGTGTGTGTGATTCAAGATGGATACAACAAATACTCATCGCTAAAGGCTAGGCCCTGCTCTTTTTAGAAGAAATGAAAAGAAAAAAAGAAGAAAGAAAAAAAAACAAAAACGTATGATGAACCAGGCTGGACTGGTGTCCCTAGGTTCAAATTTGAGGTAAGCTGTCCCAAAAGAGAGCAGTGACTGGTCACGTGAATAGCCACTCTGCTCTGCGAGCACTTTAGACACACAATGTCACGCTGCTAGTAAGTAATATTAAGTAAGTTAGTAGATCTAAGTCCCCCTATCCCGAGGAGACCGATCACACATGCCCAGATTGGGGGCTTCTGTGATTAGCCAGCCAACTGCCATGCTTTGAGATTGAGGAGAGGGAGGGAAATGCCCCACAATGGCTAACTCTGACCCATGAAAACACAGACCAGCAAGGAGCTAACTAATCGAAGGCGACCTCATCATATCTTAGGCCTCCACAGAAAAGTGATACCCAGCCTCGTGTCATTCGTGGGCCATGGTTGAAGCCTCTAACGCCCCCATGTCCCTGCCAGCTACTGAGCCAAACGTGCAGAGCTACATCTGATTTAGGATAACAGTGTTTTCGGTTCAGTTACCTTATAGAAGGCCCCGTTGGAGCCGCGCACCTCCACCGCCAGCCCATCCATGGTCGCCGGCGCTCCGCCGCTGTGAGAGTCCGGCAGCACCCCCAGCTTCGCTGGCCCTCCGCCGCTCTCCGGTCGCTTGTGGATTTCCAGTGTTTCGGGTGGGGGGAGAAGGGGCAAAGGTGACAGGGGAGGGCTGAGCAGCAAAAGGTTTGGACAGTTAGTTAGGTTAAGTTAGCTAGCTAACCTAGCTCTGACACCGAACGGCCAAGAGTTACGTTCACTCAAGAACGTTCAGGTTAGCTAGCTAGCTACTGGTAGCTCGCTGTGAGCCATAACAAAAGCGTGTTATTCGTGCTGAGTAACGTAGCTACGCAGCACGGCGGTTTGGCTGGCCACACTCACCCGCTTTCCGTACGAGGGCTGTCGGCTGGACGCTGATGTGCTGAGGGTGATGATGGAGAGGCGATATTAGCAAACAGCTAACTCGGCGGCTAATTAGCTATCACGAACACCTTCCTTGCCTCAGTTGCCGGGCTGCTAGCTAAGTTAGCGCAGTTTCGTTAGGCGATTCAGTGCATGTGTTGGGAGTGTTTGTGTTGGGGTGTAATTTGGAATCGGTTCAAATGTTCCAAACGCCGTTAGCAGCTAAAAACATTAACAATAATAAAGCCTCCTCCCAGAAAACCGTTATGCTGTGCTATCGCCCGGCAACTCCTTTCACCCCAGTTGCCCGTCCCCTCGAACGCACGCCGTCAGAGTGAAAACGCGAGAGCGTGAATGACCCCCTTAATGCCCACCCCTACTACCGGAGGGGCAGGCCATACTGGAATCTACCCCCGGCCATTGGGCAGTTTGTCTGTTCCTCAAGAATAAGGGTGTTAGTCATAGGCGGGGACGCTGGGGGCTGGGTCAACGCAAAGCCCAGAGCCTGCGCTGCTGATTGGTTGTAGTTTCTCCTTACTAAATTTAGGCGACTCTTTTCACTCTCCACGCTAATTCACAAAACCGTTTGTGTACAGCGGAGTAGACAAATAACCTCACTCTTTTAGACTGTTTGCGGTGTTCCATGCTTCGGTGTGATTTCCACTGCTCTGTTATCATGTTACCTTGAAAATAAGTGCTCTTAAAGATAAATATAATGTTAATTAACCCATGAAACAGTCTGAAGTAATGATGGCCTTTCAAACCCAACCAAGCCTCAAGCCAGTACCCACAAAATGTAATTACAGTGGCTTTGACCCACTCTGTTGAGTTCCACACTTTGCCTGACATGGCTATGATGTGGTTTATATGGCTGACCACATGGTTTGTCCTGAGCAGAAAATTTGGGTCTGGTTTAATAGTGAAAAAACATTGTAGTACTAATGTTGTAAAAATGCCTATGGCCTCTCACAGTAATGTCAAATTATCCTATAAAGTGAGATATCTTGGTTTAATGATGAGGAAAACCCCCTTCTGATGTATCTTTAAGGTGGAATTAAATTCTTCAAATGCTTTGGCATGGATGCTTGGTGGTGGGCTGATTTTTTTACGCTAAGGTTAATGACCAAAGTTTAATGTCCCACTGAAGTTAGTACTATATTGCCAATGCTAGCTAGCACCACATAAGTATTCATTAGCCTCTAGATCAGTGGCTATCAGTCAGGATTTGTTCAGTCTCGTAGGGATTCCCAGTGATTGTGTGATGTACACAACATGAAAACAATAAAACATCATGAATTCTGTTAAACCAATGAGGCTGATGGGTGCAGTGATGCACTACAGAATACTACATAGCATAACAAATAATATTATAAAAAGTGGTTTTAGGCCAGAATGCCCCTTTAAGTTCATCTTAAAGAGAGAGAGAGAGAGTTCATCTGCCATATATGTGTTGCAATGAGAAAGAATGTTGCATTTTCTCAACCTGCCGAGTGGCTGTTACCTCAGTATAAACACTTTATGTTCCATATACTGAAGAAATATTTCAAATTGATCAATCAATATGGCCAAACCCAATTTTTATCACTTAGTTTATCATATGATCAGAGCAAGTTTTACTCAGATTTTTCCTCATGCTAAATTTAGTAGCTGGACATGAATGAGTTAAATATACTGGCAGAGGAATGAGGAATGGCTGTCTCTGAAGATGTGTTACCGAAGCAGAAACTAGAAAATAAAGTTTCCTGCTTGGAACAGCTGAAGGCAGCAGATGTGGGAGGTCAGGTTAGAGGTCATGTCATCCAACTACTGTGACAGGTTTGGTGTGACACATGTAAAAGACATGTTAATGTGACAATGAGCCGAATCATCGCAAGTCTCAATGGTTTGTTGTATCAGGATCAGGAGTATTAGGAGCTGTCACTTGTGTTGACCTGATAAATGTGGGTTATGGTGAGTTTCCCTGTATTTGGAGTCTTTAAAAACCCCTGAGGGCAAAACAAAAAACAGGTGCTGAGAAGCAAAGTTAGATATCAGCTGTGCAAACTGGCCAAAAAACAAAACAAAACAAAACAAAACAAAGCTACTGTCTGTTTTTGCAGGGTTCTCCTCATTGCCAGCTGTGTCAACCTTGTTTTAAAATGTTCATTTACACCAGCAGAGGGCAGTGTAGCTTCAGCTGTCATGCTCCTGCATAAATTATAGCCTACAGATGTCTAGGTGATGGCTGAGTTGTCCTTTTATACTGATCTCAGATTGGGGTGAGGGGGGAGGGGGTCATGAAGTGATATTTAACATTTAGTCAAATGTCTTAAACTGAAAATCTAAAATTAGAGATAAAAGACTTTTCACTAGGATGGAATTTTTGCTTAAAGGGACAACTGAACGTTGTTCACGTTATTGAAATAAAAGAGGTTGAAGTAGTAAGCAAGCACTGTTTCAAAAAGTACCATTCACTCCTAAGTTAATATATGAAAATAAAGCTGCAAAAAGCTATTTTAAATTCGCTGTGATGTCAGAAAAACAGTGCATTTACAAGTATATATATTTGTCTACTCAGCTTAGAGAAGTTTAGTTCTTCTCATTCACGTTGAAGATAGAGGGAGTATTTGAGTTAGGGCTGCTTTTTGAATGAGGCATAATACAGGGCAGCAAGCCACTGAGAACAGAGGTCAATAGCATATATCAGTCTTAAAGGCACAGCAACAAAAACAGCCTGTTTAATTCTAAAGGGGACCCTGTTAGTACAGTATGTGACATGGCAATAAAAACAGAAAGTAGTGATTAGTAAATTTTGTTTGACCTATATTAAATTGAAAACAGTACAAAAACACAATATTTGATGATTTACTTTATGAACTTTATTGTTTTTTTCATAAATATACTCATTCCAAATACAATGTCTGCAACATGTTCCAAAAAAAGTTGGCACAGATACATGTGTACCACTGTGTTACATTACCTTTTTCTTAACAGCATGTAACAACAATATGGAGACTGAAGACACTAATTAATTCATTTTGGAAGGCAATTTTTCTGTCTTCAGCGGGGACTTCATTGTTGTATTTTGCACTTCATTATACATCACACGTTTTCAATAAGAGGCGGGGAGGCAGGTCTACTACCTACACTCTCTGATTACACGGCCATGCTATTGTAACACATGTAGAATGTTTCCTGCTGTTGTCATGTTAAATCAATCATGGACGTTCCTGAGAATGATGGCATCATACAGAAGGCAGTATATGTTGCTCCAAAATGTATATCACTTTCAGGGTTAATTGTGCTTTCACAGATGTGCAGGTTAATGACTAATACACCGCATATCATGAGAGACTCTGGCCTTTGAACTTTGCGCTGGTAACAATCTGAATGGTCATTTACTTCTTTGGCGTGGAGAACATGACTTCCATTATTTGCATAAAAAATCAGAAATGTTGACTCATCAGACCACAACACATGTTTCCACTGTGCATAGGTCTATTTCAGATGAGCTCAAGCCCAGAGAAGTTGGTGGTGTTTCTGCACATTGTTGACATATGACTTCCACTGTGCATAGTACAGTCTTAACTTGCATTTGTGGATGAAGTGATGAACACTGTTTATTGAGAACAGTTTGTCAAAGTATTCCTGAGCCTATGTTGTGAAATCCATCACAGAAATAATTTTAATTCAGTGCTATCTGAGGAATCAAAGGTCACAGGCATTCAGTTGTGTTTTTTGGCCTTGTCCTTTATACACAGAGATTTTTTGGGGTTCTCCAAATCTTTTGATATTCATAAGGCTCACAAAGCCTTTTCTGAATTTTGCTTTTACACTCAAGCATGACTTTATTACCTATTTTAAAATGTTGTCTGAACACTTAACAATGTTTCTAGTCTTAAATTGCCCCTGTCCCAACTTTTGTGGAGTGTGTTGCAGGTATCAATTTCAGTATGGCAGTATATTAACAAAAACAATGAAGTTGATGAGATAAAACATTAAAGATCACTAAATAATGTGTCCCTGGTCAAATGACTTTTGTTGATTTTCTGAGTGAAAATAAGTTTACACATCCTCTACAGAGAACACATGGTAGCACTTCACAGATCAGTAATAAGAAGATACTGAAATGGTAATTTTGCTCATTTTCTAGTTGTCAGTAACTGTAACAGCTATAACCCTAATATTATAAAATCCTATAGGGATTTGAAAGAATTGTAGTAATACTTTGATTAAGCAGATATTATGCTGTTAGAACTGGATTGGAATTTAATATAAAATGTAAAAAACATAAAAAAGGGGCTAAAATTATGGATTGTTTAGTATGTCTCAACGTTTTGTATCAACTGCCAAATTAACAATTTATTGACAAGTAATTAAAGTTTGTTAACATTATCTTGCCATTTCATTACTGACTTGTCACTGCTACCACTATTAGCTTTTGCATACGACTGTATAAGTAAGCACACGTGTTGCTCTTTGTGTTACCATGAGAAGTTTGAAAGGAGATGCCAGCTATAAAGTATTTTTTCACACAGCAGATGTCTTAGCTGAAAGGGAAAATGGCATTACTTCAATCCAAATAATTGAAAACAATTACACACAAAAATGTCTTTGCTTTTTTTTAATTACAAATAAATTTTCAGCCTCTCTTACATCCTCTCACATCTTTAAATGGTTTGACCGGTAATCTCAAGCCAATACACTCTTGTTAATAAACTGACATTCTTTAGTTTCCCTAGTCTGGCTTGGCTCTTAAAAGTCTAAGCACTGCAGAATTATCTAGCAGAGCACAAGAAAATTAGAAAGCAATAATGAATTTCAACCTAGAAGTTAGCTCTCTTGATTTGTTCTTCAAAGCATGCCATTGATTGAAATTAAACCATATTCCCTTTACCTTGTAGTAAACCACTACTAAATAGTAATGCAAATATGTCATTGTACTGTGGAAAAACTCTCTGTAAGTAACTTATCTTACCCTGTAGGTGTCACTCTTGGATGTGTATTAGGTCAGCATGTTTTAGCTCCAGTGCTGGGGCACATTCGCCTACACGGTTTTTCCCGCTCTAACATAACTGTCAGAGTATAACAAGTGTCAAGCCATCACGTGTTGAATCAGGTGTGCAGTAATAGAATACAGATTTTTAGTTTTGCTGATTGACCCCAGAACTGGATTTAAACTGTAGCCCAGTAAATTAAGGCAGAAAGCTTGGACTGAGCTTGGACTTGACACAAGGGTGCCTAAACATTCTCAAACACATTCTAAAAAGAATACCAATTACAGGTCTATACCGGGAACCAATGGTGGAAATAGTTCAAAACAAACTTCATTCAAGTAGAAGAATTGTTGCTATAGAGGAAATTTGCTCAAGTGAAAAACTTCCTTCAAATAACATCTTGTGACTACTTGAGAAGGAGGAAAAGCAGCTGTGTCTGGTTTCTGTACTGATACTGAATCCATCTGAGATGCAGATCAGTGTTATACAGTCATATGCAAAATTTTGAACACCCCCAGGCAGACTACAGTTGACTGCCTATGTGAAAATAATTTAACATATCCTCTACAGAGAGCAAACTCAAATATGGCATTTTCAGCAAGTTTTAGTGCACAATTTCTATTTATTTGCTGAGTTAAACATATTGGGGAAAAAAACCCATAAAATATAAAATATACCATAACTTTTGCACAGGCCACACTTAACTTCACTTTTTTCACTAGATTTTCGCTAGTGGAAGTAGCTTAGTTGAAAATCAACCCCATTTAAAAATACTCAAATTTTTTTCCACCAATGCATTTTCTGAGTGCCCTGGACATTCCGAAAAAATGAGGAACATCTGCTGCCAGATTTTGTTTTCAAGAGCACTTGGAGTGCAAAACATTCAGCTGTGCTAAAATGTAAAGTATGGGAGAAGCATTTTTGATCAGTTATAGTACTTGCTGTCTCCGCTGTTTTCTAGTCGTAATGCTTGGCTGAAGATATTGTCATCACTTAGAAATTTACCTCACTGACTGATAGACCGCATGTAGCCTACGTGTATGTCATACCAGCAGCCCCAGTGAACAGGCCGATGCGATCTGTGACAGGTAATTCGTCACAGATACCTGATAAGCCATTTAAGCGTCATCTCATAAAAACCTGCAGGCTTCTGTAGCACATTCCAAAAGGAATCCATCACAGATTAGCATCTGCATGTGATGACTACACATTTGCACTGCTATTCAGCTGATCTTTTGGGTCAAAGGTCATGATCCTCAACCCAGGGTGAGTACGAGAGTGCCTGTTCAGACAGGGCAGAGACCTCCAGAGCTCAAGGCGGACATCATGACAGAGGAAGATGTAGAAGAGGGGATTTAGCAGGGTGTTTAGACTGGTTAGCCCATAGCAGATCCTGTAGCACAGGTAGACGGAGCGTTCCAACGCACACTGGTCCTCAGTTAGCAGCAGCGCTATGAATCTGTAACCGCCCACCATGTGGTAGGGGCCAAAGACCACAATGAAATTGATGGTGATCACCGTGAGGGTGCCTACGATTCTGTGGCACTCGTGGTCGGAGACAGAAGGGGAGTTGTGGAGTGTTACCCCGATTTTGGCAGATGTGTAGCTGTGAGGAGTACAAAGGACCAAAGGGACATTTTTTAATTGACGAGGGAATCACATAAGGGAAAAACACATTGTTGGGCTACATTCTTTTTAGGAGACAGACATGCTTGTATCTGATTTTCTATCTTGGCGATGGCATTTTCATACCATTGTATCAGACGTTTGAATGGAATGCACTATTAGACTCTTAATAGAGGCAACATTGTTTAGGTGTTCTCCTATAGACCTTGGCACCAAACAACACACATTACTTGCCTCATGTCACTTACTTACCCCAGTATAGAGCATGGCATCAGAAAACCCAGGGCCACCGTGGCTATCTTAAAGTAAGCATATCTCTGGCTGACGGGATACTGCTCCAGACACAAGCCCCTCTGGGGCTCAAATACGGATGGATAAAGGCCGATTAGGCAGAAGAGAAATATGAGAGTCCAGACCACCACGCCAGAGAATGCAGCCAGGCGTACTTTCCTCACACCACGGCTGCTTAGTGGGTGCACGATGGCAAGACATCGGTCCAGGGCAATGAGGCACAGGAAGATGACACTTGCATATATGTTCACATAGAAGACATAGCCCACCAACTGGCAGGTAATGGAGCCATAGGGCCAGCGGTGTGCCCCTTGTAGGTAGAGAATCCACAGAGGTAAGGTCAGTAGCTGGAGAAGATCTGACAGCAGCAGATTGAGTATGTAAACCAGCTGGCAGCCACCGCCACCCGAGCGGCCCAGTTGGTACAGTCCCCAAAGGGACAGCAGATTGGCTGGGAGGCCCAGAGAGAAAGCCAGGCTGTAGATGTAGGTGAGACCAACTCGGTCTGTCTCCAGGGGGAGATGGCAGCTCCCATTCGTCAGGTCTGCGGAGAGAATCAGGAGAAACCTGTGACCTTACATGGTCTTGGTTTGCTCAATATCAAAGTGCTGCTTCATTGCAGTGCCATAGCCGTTTGTTGGAAAACATACAAAGAACCATATCATTATGCACTGAAGCAATACAAACTACAGAAAATGAGTACTTACTCAGAAACATGATTTCTATGCCTTTGACATGTGAAAGACATTTGAAGCTCTGAACCTCTAAGCTATTTTTCACACTGTGTTTCAGACTCAACCGCCGCAGTCACAGGCCTCTTGCTGCTCTCCTAACACTTGCATTCAACCAAACGATCCTGTGGGAAACATCACACTTGTATAACTTACATTCCAAAAAAAATGGCCCTTGATACTAATAACTACCGCTCATTTATGTACTCAGAACATTTCAATATCGCATAGATGACTATCAATACCAAACTGAAAGATTTCTCCTCACCTTACACTGGCCTATGACAGCAGACTGCAGTTTGGTGTGCCAGGACTCTTGTGAATGAGTGAGTGAAGGCATACGGTACGTCCCTGTCTGCCTGAGGGGCTGAGTTCTTGATCATTTCCCGATGCAGGAAGCCACTGCTACTGCCTTTGAGCGGCCACATCCTGAGGCCTTTCTCCTGCAGAACAAAAACACCCTCCTGCCTGATTGGGAGTGATACGAGTCAGGCCAAACTGTTCCTGCTGACGGAAGGGCTGCTGAGAAACAGGGCAAAACACCCTTACACTGTTTTCATTTCCCCTGTGACACCCAGTGCCCCCCACCTCCTCGGCTACACCAGGTTTAGACTGGTGTGCTAATGTTACGTGAAAGCAAAGTTCATGAACAATAGGTGTTATGGATAAACAGTTTAAGTTTCTGATTGTGATGGTCATAGTGGGTGTCATTTAGTTGAGTGAATATTGAAAAAATCATTTTGTTTCTGCACCTGTCAGTCAAATCGAAGGGCATAGAAAGGTTTTCTTGGACTCTGACTTGATTATATCCTTGATTTACAATTGATGGGGAGTGTGCCTTGCACTTTTGCTCATGTGTGCATGTGTGATCAGTACAGAGAGAATGCCACCGATACTTGACTGCAGATAATCACAGCCTACTCAGATGAGAAGATGTGGCAGCTGAATGAGAAAAGGAAGGTAGTGATGACTTCTGATAAGAGCTAAACCAGAAAGCCAAAAAGGACTGAAATGTGCAAAGCAATTGCCAAGACAGTGATTTAATGACAGGAAGAGTTTAATGGTCCTATACAGTCATTTGGGCCTCAACTGTATGACAGTTTTGTTGAGTCAGTGCATCCTGTAAAAAATAACTCTGCTCTCAGCCAAGCTTTCAAAGATGCTGATATATACTTTTTGTCGATGCAGATAGAAAATATTTTTATTTCTTTTAAATATTTGGAGAGACAAACAGAAATAAATCATTGTTATACACATTATTCACAGGTAATTCTGAAGAGAATACATGATAGTTGATATAAAACCTTTAAAACACACAATCTGATGTACACCCAGAATATCTTTGATACCATTTAAGGGACTAAAATAATTCATATTTTTAACAGAGAATAATAAAGCACAATTATGGAGTGGCATTTGTATTTAGTTATTCCATTTAGAGAAAATGTCATAAAGATTGCACAGAAAAAAGAAATATGAATAATTCCAAAAACATATTTGACATTTTGAACATACCCAAAGCTACAAGATGTACCAGTTTTATATATTACACCTACCATGGAGTGTGTGGAAGTTCTCCACTCTGATCTATCTTTTTCCCCAAGCTACAAGCTACATTTTGCAACCTGATTTGCTACCTGATACTTGACCCCACTACCATAAATATACATGATTTCTACTGTCACACTGTATAAGCCAGTTCCTGGAGCCAGACTAAATCTAAACTTAGACTTAAACAAATGTCTAACTGTGATTCAGCATTGGCCCTGTGATTTAATACAAGATTTAATCCATGTCCAGGAAACTGGCCACATTTAATTTCTACACAGGTTATGAGATATCACTCTATTGCATGAAGGAAATCTGAACCATTCTGTTTAATGTGCATAAAGTATCTGGAATTCTGCATAGATTGAGTGCCTACAAGTGTTTGGAGAGCTCAACTTCAGTTCAGTCTTTCTTCTGCTTCTTGTTTGACCTACAACAAAGCAGCCTGCAGAGAGTTATTGAGGCCCAGAGTGCTGCGGAAATAATGGCTGTAAGAAAAACTATCACATCTAGACTGTGGTAGGAGTACCATGGTAAATTATTCGCCTCTGAGCTCAAGTGTCGAGCTCCTTTGTGTCTTAAGACATACTCGATCCAGAAGATGGCACTGTCCAGGGGAGAAAGAGGCCAATCACGATGAAGTTCTGACAGCTTCTGCATGGTGTTTCGGTAAGATGGATTCCTAATGACATCTTGGAGGGCTTCAAGGAACTCTTTTGAAGTTAGTGTGCCAATGTCTACCACACGAGCTGCTCCTCGAACCTCCAATCTAACTGCATTGTCAAACTGGTCAAAGAGAAGTGGCAGAAGCAACACAGGCACCCCATGGTAGATAGCCTCGTAGATTCCATTGGTGCCACCATGGGACACAAAGGCACGAGTCTTTGGGTGACCCAGGAGGTTATTTTGAGGAAGCCAATCAAGTAACAATGTGTTGTTACCCAGAGATGAAGGTCGTTCCCCCATGTACCGCCATATGACCTTCTGAGGTAGCTTAGCAAAGGCAGAGGCGATGGCTTCTGTGATTTCTTTGGGAAGGGCAGTGACAATGACTCCCTGAGACACGACCACCACTCCATGCTCCCCAGAACTCTGCATAAAATCCTCCAGCTCTGCAGAAACGGGTTGGGATGGGCGACACTGGAAGCCACCCATGTAGACAACGTTAGGCATGCTAGGGCGTGGGAATTCAAAGATGAAGTCAACACGCATCAGCCAAATGTCTGCTGAACGCTGCATGGTGAGGAGATCTGAGTTTGGTGGAAAGTGTTTTTTTAACAGTTTGTCATAAATGGGGACGATAACGAATTGTTCCTGTAGGCAGCTGACCACATATCGAAGGAAGTTCTCGATCCTCTGCAGAAAGTCCATTTTTTCACTGAACAGTGAGTTGTACATGGGAACATGGGACGGTGGTGATGGAGCAATGGCCATATGTGCATCTCCGGCATTGAGCCAGCGCACATTATACACCATGGGTAAATGGAGATAGTTGGCCAGAAGAACCCCAGCAGGGAAAGCGGGGTCAGTTAGCATTAGGTCAAACTTAGCATCCTGCAGTTGTTTCATTAGTGTTGAGTCGTCAAGCATGGTGGAAATCAGGGAAAGAGCTCCACTGTGGAATATTTGCAGCATAGTTGCCACATCTTTCTGCTGCTCAAAGAAGCGCACGATTGGTGACATCGTACGTAGTGCTATTGACCGCTGCAATAAGGTCCTAAAATATCCTGCATCCACAGGTTCTTTTTGAGTGATGTTAACAGTAATTATGGCGTAGAGGGGAGAGCTGGCCTGAATGTACAGACTCCTGGAAGATCGCACCACTGTCAAATTGTGGCCATGAACATGCAGCTTCTTCATTATGACCTGCATATTCAGCCAATGGCTGCCATCCTCTGGAAACACCAGGATCTTGCCACCACTGGAAGAGCCAGCCAGAAAAAGTAAGCAGCAGAAAGAGAGCAGCTGATTTGTATTCACTTCCATCTTCCAGAAGGCTGAGGAAAGCACAGAGAACACAAAGCAAATGTTACACCATTACTAAGGCTAAACTCAGAGTTATAAACACTCAGCAGATACTCCTTTGGATACTCCTACTCTATAGCTGCACCCAATAGGCTGTTGGTTATGATTTCAGTGTCCTCATTTAGACCAGGATGTGCCGTATTAGGAATGTAATCCCATTTCTTATTTTGTTTGTATATATTTGGAAATAAAAGAAAGCTGGCAGTAGTGCTAGCATTGGAACATCATCTACTCATTGAAAATAAAGCAGTTCCACTGCTGAAACTCTGGGAAGGCACAAAACATTTTGTACAGCTACACTGGCCCAGATCCATCTGCCTGAAATGTACATTAAAAAAAAGAACGTTTCATACAGAGGTTGCATAATGGGAGGCAAGCCCTGGGTGACTCAGTGGGACTGGAACTATACGGGTCTGTGGAACATGCCAATGTTTGTACATGCCATTTTAAAATGACTATGGCTATGTGTTACTTTGGGTTTAAAAAGTAAGCTTTCCTTAAGGGGCCAAGGATTTTTAGCACTGCCCTTGTTTACACTTCCTGGGTAGTGCAATGCTGGTGTTGTACACTCTCAGAAAAAAAGTACTAAACTGTCACTGGGGTAGTACCCCTCTTGTCACTGGGGTGGTACCCTCAGGTATACATCTCTGTACCTTTAGTCAGGGAACATAATTGTACCATAATCCATTGAAGTTTTATTTTCTAAGTTGTACTGACTCCACACACCCTGTCTCGTCTCCAGGCTTTTTTTATTGTTCTGTTTTAAAACTTTAGGTTATGCGAAGGTACAAATATGTACTTTTCCACTGGAAAAAATGTATTTAAAGTACACAATGGGACCTTAATACCACTGTTTTACCTTTGAGGGTACAATTATGTTGTTTGTAACTTGATCAACAAAAATGTACCCGCACAGAACCTTTATTTCCGACAGTGTATTCTTAGGAAAGTACATCCTGTTCAGGACACTGAAATCATGGTCAACAAAAACAGGATCAACCTCTTTTTTTTCAGCCTTTAGCCTACTAAAAATCTGTCTTGGCATTAACAGATTCAGTCTCACTCCATGTCAAATTAAAGAAAATGTACAGCCAAGAGATGGTCCTCAGATGAAAAAATAGGCCCAGGGGGCGTCATTATAGTCACATGTATGTGTAACACTAAAGGAGTGATACTTGTAGACACTTATGTTGACTTAGTATATGTCTTGTACAGTTCTGAAAAACAGAACACAACCAGTACCTCTTCGATCACTTAGATTAACACAACTGCCAACAGAAGAAAGCTATGACCTTCATAGACTGACCCTTATTATCTCAGGCCAGAGATAATACTCCTCCAAGGAACCTATGTAAAAAATGCATACAGGAGTTTTCCAGGGTCAACACTAGATCTCCATGTAAGAATCGTCTTCAGTATCTCAGTATCCCAATTTTTACTGAAAGGCACTTCGAAAGTAGGGATTTAACACATATTGTCAGGTTTGATATGATTTTTCGATGAGGTAAAGAGCCCAAATCCTATATTTGTATATATTTTATATATGTTATTATTTCTTTCCCCTGATATGAACTTATGTTAGTGTGTGTTTTTGTTCCAAAACAGTTATAACACATTTTTACATTTACATTTCTAAATTCTCTATATTCCCATACAGAATTAAAGTTTTTTTTACTGTGCCTTTAAGACTCATATTTGTAAACGAGCTCTGTTCTGATTGGCTGTTCTGTACTGTACCTCATTTAAAACACAGGCCAGGCTGGGACACCCCTTATAACTTCTGCAGAAAGGGCAGCGCTAATCTGCTGTAGCCTAAATGACATATATATGTAAATGCATGGGTTCTTGTGACATCACAAAATCTATTAATTCAAATTAGATTGCTTTTGCGGCTTGGTTTTTATATATTGACCTATGTGTTAGGGAGTGAATGGTATAGTTTGAAACTTTAGAACTATTTATATAGTACATCTAACTCTTTTATGTAAAAAAAAAGGAGAATTAAGTTTTCCGTAATATAGGCCCTTTAAGATTTAATTCAGTTTTTCATGTTTGAGTGTCTTAATTCTGCAAAGCTCTGATTATATACTGCACAGATTAGTTTGGCTCAGATAAAGGCAGATTATTTCAAAACAAAAGGTTGCAAAGCAGCATGTCCTAGTGTAAAATAGTGATTGTACATTTTAATCATTACCTTTATTATGGTTTTAAAGATTGAGAGCTGTTTAAAACACAGACGTGTGCTGTCTTCATATGTTTAATGATGTAATACACCAGCAGTGGAGCATTAATTTCATAAGTTCTAAGTTTATAAGAGGAAGATTAATTTCTAAGTTCTAATTTCATAAGAACAACATTAGCGTGTTTTTATTTTACGTTTTTGCTCTTCTGAGACTATGCATCATAAAACGAAATGCTGCAATTTTGAAAAATGTTTGAATGGACTTATCAATAGTCCTGTGTCTAACACAATCACCATACTACTTTTGCACACTGCTAGAAAGACGAGGTCATATTATACCTTTTTTGTGGCACCACTTCGTTTTTTCGGAGCAAATAGAGTTAAAGCAGCTTTGAATTTTCCAAATATATCCATTAGCTCTCATTTGTATGCACACATTTAAGCACAAGGTTTACGGAATATTGAAGCTCAGATGATGCACTCACCGGAGGTGCTCTGTTCCCGTGTCACCAGTCCGTAGGTTGTAATGTGAGAAAATTGACACGGGCTACTTGATCATGAATGAACCCGCAGTGTTGTGAAAAAAAGGAATACGGCAGCTCCTGATGAACTCTTTACTGTTCTTGAAGTGAACCAAATGATGGAATTAGACTCAGTTATTCACTGCTCGAAATTGGAGCACAAAGAAAACTGAGCCAACCGAAGACAAAGAAACCTGTTTTCTCATGACAGTAGAGCTTTGCTCAGTAATCATGATATCTGTTACTCTGCTCATGCATCTTTGTGGATTCCAGAAAACAGCGTTATCGCTTGCACCCATCAAAACTGACAATGTGCTAAATTTACAAGGTCATTTGACCAGATATATTTTGAAAACAAACATCACTCAGAGTACCTGCCAGTTTTCCTTCCTGTAGAATGTTTTTCAAGTGTTTCAGAAGAACAACATTAGCATATTTTCTTTCTCTTTTTTTGCCCCTCTGAGACTATGCATCATGAAATGAAATGAAAAGAGAACACACTGTGAAAACATTTTGTCAATTCAACCTAGGAAATACACTTTGTGCAGTAAAAAGCAATTCAACTGGCTTTATTCAAGTACAGTACAAAAGCAATTTCTCATCAATCCAGATCAAATAAACACTTTAAATGTTCTATTTTTAAAAGTGCAAAAGTATTTTTAACATTGCAAAATTCCAAGCATAATTTAATGGAATTTTAATAAAAGCTATAAAAGGCCCATTTCAACCCTCATAGCTATGATTGTCATCTACAAAAGTTTATTGAATTGGTAAATTGAATAAAGACATCTACAGGTTATGTTACATCATCCATTACTAGAAAAACAAATGTGGACAAACAACACTCTTTGCTTCATCAGAGGTGTGAAATGGCTAGTGTTGCAGAGCAGTGTAGACTTCTGGTATAAAATCAGCTGAACAATGGTCCCCAACCTTGGTCCTGCATTTTATTCCAGCATTCCTTGCTGCAATTCACCTAATGCAACCAATCAGTCAATTAATAAACCCTTTTAGATTTGAAGCAGCATATGAAAGTTTCATTTTTTGGCTATGCTGCTCAGATAAATATTAAATTGTCACTCAATATCAGACCAAGGGTAAAAAAAAATCATGAATCAGGACATCTCTAGTCATTTCTGTTTCCTAAAATAGCTCCTTCTGCTCTGCATTTCGTTTTGCTCTGCAATGAACAATCAGCAGTTTTAACTTATGCCTGAAATGTCTATTGAAAGAACAGGATTTAAAAAACATAAACCATAGCTGATTCAATTGTAAGTTTTGTTCCTCTAAATTCTGCTTGAAAGCTTGGATTATAAGGCATTCAGAGCAGGTTCTACTCTTGTTTATCCTTCCTGTTGAAGATCTTGCAGTAGAGCAGCTTAAGGACACACACTGAGATCCATAGAATAGCTGCAATGATAACAAAAAGTAGGGCAGCCACATCTATACTGTAGTAAGCATACCAGGGCATAGCATAGGCCTCAGTGCGCAAGTGTGGAGCTCCTTTGTGTCTAAGGACAAACTCAATCCAGAAGATGGCACTGTCCAATCCAGACAGCGGTTTATCGCGGTGCAGCCGTGAAAGCCTCTTAATATTGTTGCGGTATGTGGGGTTTTCCAGAAGTTCTTTTAAAGCTTCCAGGAACTGATTTTTAGTGAGTGTCGCCACCTCCAGCAAACAAGCTGCCCCGTGAGCCTTCAGCCTTAAGACGTTGTCGAACTGGTCAAAAAGAAGAGGTAAACCCAAAACAGGAACACCGTGGTAAATTGCTTCGTATAGGCCATTGGTGCCACCATGAGACACAAAGGCACGTGTCTTAGGGTGGCCTAAGAGGTCATTCTGAGGAAACCATTTAACCAGCAATGTGTTGTTACCAAGAGTTGAGGGTGCTTCACCCGGGTATTTCCAAATGACCTTCTGAGGAAGCTCAGCAAAGGCAGCAGCGATCATCTCTGTGGTCTCCTTTGGGAGGGCTGAGATGATGGTCCCTAGTGACATAATAACCACTCCATGCTCTCCTGAGCTCTGCACAAAGTCCTCCAGATCTGTGGGTAACTGCTTTGCAGGTTTGCATTGAAAACCTCCCACATAGACCACATTGGGCATCGTAGGACGTGGGAACTCAAAAACAAAGTCTGCCCGCACCAACCACAAATCTGCAGCATGCTGCATGGCCATCATGGTGGATCCTGGTGGAAAGTGAAGGTCAAGTAACTCCCTGTAAGGAGGATCAATGACAAAGTGTTGTTGAAAGACAGAGATGAAATAGAAAAGCATGTTTATAAGGCGCTCTGAGAAGGTCATCCGGTCACAGAGGTTAGATCCACTTAGAGGGACATAAGATAAAGGAGAAGGGGCAAAGGCAAAATGGCTATCCCCATTGTTGATCCAGCGAACATTAAACACCATTGGAATGTTAAGGTAGTGGGCAAAAAGCACTCCAATAGGAAACGCTGGGTCAGTTAACATCATGTCATATTTACCATCCTTGAGTTGTGCCATGTAGGCCTTGTCTTCAAACATTGACATAGCTGCTTTGGCTAAAATTTTATTGCCAGTCGCTAACATGTCAGTGAGATCCCATTGCTGGTAGAGAGAAGTGAGGGATGGCCACTTTCTGCGAAAATCTAGATGTTGCTTCAGCAACTTGTCATAGAAGTTCAGGTCAATATCATCTTCTAGAGATTTCATGGGGATGGAGGTGTAGATTGGTGATTTCTCTGGGATGTACCAGCTCTTGATGGAGCGCATCACAGTCAAGTTGTGCCCACGCGAATGTAACCCTTTTAAGATGATCTCCATATTAACCCAATGGCTGCCATCAACAGGAACCACCAAGATATTACTGTTGTTCTGACAGCTACCAGGAAAGGGAAATAGCCACAGTAAGCTTGTAAGAATCAGGGAAAATCCTCCATTTGGCTCCATTCCTATAAAAACAGAACATTTGACACAAATGTTGCGGTTTGTGTGAGGTATTCACATGAACATGTATAATAACACTATTGATAAAAATGAAAGCTTAACATATTCTGACTACAAGCTTCATTGTACTATACACTTTTTTGCCTATATATTAAGGTTTGTGCTTTCATTTTTTTTGTTATTTTCTATACTTATATACTTATTTGGATTTACTCTGAATTGCCAGTTTATTTCAAAAACTTTATTTGAAAAGTAATATAACTAAACACGGTTATGAATCTCCTGTCCATTTTAGCCCACTCTTCATGTCCGAGCAGAACTTAGCACTGACATTCCCACATTTCAGGATGACAATATAGGGTATCTGTAGGCCCATGCACAGACTTTTTTTTGGGGGGGGGAGGGGGGGGGGCACAGAGGCTCAAGAGGAAAAAAGACATCATGAGCATGGATAAACTCAATATCCTGTACATTGCAATTATTTTTATAGAGACGGAAGGTATCATCATGTTTCAGACAAATCCAAATGTAGTGATAAGAGTTTTCCCAAACACAGGCAAAAGCACAAACATTTGAACCCCAGTTTTCAGTGTGTAAAGCCATGGCAATACTAACTACACTATTAAATTGCTATGTAATATTTAGTTGTAACTCTAATTAAAAGCTCCACAGAGTCTCATACAAATCCCTGTTTTTTAAAATAATTGAAACTTGGTTTAGTTTATTAACATCCCATATTGCTGACATTATGGACACTACATTACGGAATATGATGCTTTCCTAAGGAAGTTATAAGTGTTTTATTGGTAGGACATGGTCATGAGTGACAGGTTGGTGATACTGAGGAGAACTACATGTGGTCAGTACTGCACCAGAAGGGGTGCCCATAAGTGATAAATCTTATAGAACTCAAGCTGGCCCACAAGCTCTATTTCTGGGGCGAGGCTGAGTCTCACCTCACTTAAATGGATCTTGAAGAATGTCAAGGAAATATAAAATACAATTATTATACACACCAACCAAGAGGGCTTTTGTACAGTCTGAGGGCAAAATGGGCAGGTGATCAAGCCTCCACTGGGGTCTACCTATGCACCTGCCTGAGTGTCGGTATGCGACTGGTTCAGCAGGCATGAGTGACCAACAAGATCACCAGACCTCAATCCCAATTTTTAAGTTGGAACAGAAGATGAAATGCTGAAATAGGCTCACACAAACTCTGGCTGAAATATGCACTCAGTTAGTGGAAGAGTAGGCTGTAATTCTTGCCTAACAGGATTGATGCTGTTATTGGGACAAGAGGACACATAACCAAGTGTTAGGGAAGAAATGATACATGTGACTACTTTTTTGTGTGGTGAGCTTATCTAATCTACATTCATTGACCATATTATTAGGTACACCACATAGGTGCACTTTATAGGCATATAGTTAGTTACTGTAGCCCATATGTTGCTATGGAAAGGGCCCACCTTAGGATCACTGCCTCTCTCAACTCAGCCCTTTCATTGAGATATTTAAACACTCCATCACTGTTGCTGTGCCTGACTAATGTGCAACTAACATGTTGGAATCAATGCTGTGTTGAAAATGATCTCCTACCTATATCATACCTGCTCAGGGTGGGTCCTATCATGATCCCTTTCCATTAGTGAATGAGGTAGAGGGTGGTTGATTAGTATGTGGATTAATGATTAATTAATAAAGCGTGTATTAATTAGTAGTTAGCAGTGTTACTCCTAAATAAGACACTATGTAGTTATATTGTTCCAAGGATGTCATATGCTAGCTAGCTAATTTTAGGCTTCTATGTGGAATATAGGCCCAAGTGTCATCTATGTTATCCACCTATAGTGTACTTTAAGGCATGCCATTTTTTTCTTTGCCTCTCCATTTAAGTAATTCAGTTTTTTGGTAAAAAATATTGTGTTTAAAACAAAAAAATCAAAATATGTATTGATAAAAAAGCACCAAAGATATAGATCATGGACATAACATTCCACTGACATACCCACAATTATGGAATCAATATGAGAACTGGCTCAACAGTATACTTACAAAGTGGACCTATACAATAGGTGTACCTAATTAAAAACTCAGTGTAATTAGTAGAAGAGATTATAAGGGGACTTTGCTCATGGACAGTGCACATTCAGTGATTACAGATTAATACAAATAGATATAAAATAAATAGTTTGCACATATTTATTCAGAAAAAACACAAGCTGAATAAAAATATAAAATGAAAAACTACACTAAATTGCTATGTTTAAACATTTGGTAACACTTTCTATGAATGTCACCTTTGTAAGCATCTATAAACACATTCATAACATGTTATAATGTATTCATAAGGCATTATAAACATGGTTATAAATATTTATAAAAAAGAATTACACTGAATTACACTTTATAGCCATGTTTATTATACATTATGAATTGTTAATATAATGCATTATAAATAGTATTAATAACATGTTATAATGACAGTGCCAAAGAAGTCAGTCCCAGCTTGGAGAGCGTAAAGTAAAAACAAATACCAAGCTAACGGTGGTGTACATTACCTTTCCTACATTGGGTAAAACACTGATGGCAGCACTAGTTTAAACTCTGACATTTGAAGCCTGTAATGTGCTTTATTGTGTAGGTTTTAGTGTTTCAGTAAATCCTTCAGTAAATACTTCAGCCTGAAGCCTCAGTCTTAACGCTGGAGGAAGCTTTAGTACAGTATGCTTCACTTTACTTAGAGTGGACGAATACAACTTATGAGCTCTTATAATTTGTTATGATCAGTACTTATAATGTATTATGTTAACAATTCATAATGCATGATAAACATGGCTATAATGTATAGTGCATTTTTATAAATATTTATAGCTATGTTTATAATGTCTTATGAATGTATTATAACATGTTATAAATGTGTTTATAGATGCTTACAAAGGTGACATTCATAGAAAGTGTTACCAAACATTCTACTAAAAACAAAAACATATTTTTAAAATTTGTCTGCACTGTTACACACTTCTTAATAATTACATTTTAATAATAACTGTCAGAGGGCCAGATCATTAGAATGATCAGTGAGGTTCACAAAATCACAATCAATTCCATATAAAGGCACAAAAAACTAAACAGTTTTTGTACTCGAGACACGACAGAAAAGACTTAAAATGCTGACTTAAAATGCTGTGAAAAGAAAATAGAAAATTCTTACCTGGTACTACTGATACGTTATGAGTATGCTCAGCAGAACAAGTTGGTGTGTTAGAAAATGCTTCACTAGTGTTTCATTATGTGCTCAAAGTTCATGTCAGAAAACTGTCAACTCACTTTGGGAAACATTAAGCCTTGGCAAAGGCCAAATGAACTTTCACAGGGTGATACCACACCCTTGTTTGTTTAGCAGTGATACTTCAGGACGTAAAACTACTGTTACACTACCCTGTGCATTTATAGAGCTCAATATCCTTATTATAAAGTTAAATATTCTTATTATTCTTAATATCCAATATATACTGCCACGCAAAAGTATTCAACAAACTGATTCTGTAGCAAAAGGTGGTTCTACCAAGTACTAGTCTGAAGGGGTCGAATACTTATGCAAATGGCATTTTTCAGTTTTAATTTTTTTTAAAGAACTGGCTGGAAAAATCTGTGTGTGTTACTTGTAATCCAGATAAATCTGAAGACTTTTAAGTGGGTTGTATACTTATCAAGGCACTGTATCTGAAATGGAAAGAACATAGTAGTGTGTGTGTGTGTGTGTGTGTGTGTGTGTGGATACAGGAGTTTTCCAGGGTCAACACTAGATCTCCATGTAAGAATTGTCTTCTTCAGTATCTCAATTTTTACTAAAAGGCTCTTCAAAAGTAGGGATCTAACAATACACATACTGTCAGATTTGATATGATTTTGATTCTGAAGTAAAGAGCCCAAATCCTGTATTTGTCTTGTATGGTATAATGGTATGTTCTTTTCCCCTAATATGAACTTATGTTAGTGTGTGTTTTTACATTTACATTCCTAAATTCTCTATATTCCCATTTAAAATTGAACAGTTTACGGTGCCTTTAAGACTGATATTTGTAAACAAGCTCTGTTCTGATTGGCTGTTCTATGTTATGCCTCATTTAGAAAACAGTCCAGGCTGGGACACCCCTTATAACGTCTGCAGAAAGGGCAGTGTTAATCTGCTGTAGCCTAAATGACATATATATGTAAATGCATTGGTTTTTGTGACATCACAAAATCTATTAATTCAAAATAGGTTGTTTTTGCAGCTTGGTTTTTGTATATCGATCTATGTCTTAAGAAGTGATTGTTATAGTTTGAAGCTTTAAAAGTATTTATACAGCACATCTAACTCTTTTATTTCAAATAAAATTCAGTTTTCCATGCAATGGGCCCTTTAAGATTTGATATATTTAAATGTCTTCATTCTGCAAAGCCCTGATTATACACTACACAGAGTGATTTGGCTCAGATAAATGCAAATTATTTCAAAACAAAACATAGCAGCATGTCCTAGTGTAAAATAGTGATTGTACACTTTTAATCATTACATTTATTTTAGTTTTGATGATTGAGAGCTGATTTCTGGAAAGATAACAAATGAGAGACCCTCTGAAAAAGCTGAGGGACATATTTGCCACATTTTAAAATTTGATTTAAACCTTAATTTTTCAGTTTTTTTAATATTACATCTAGATCTTAACTGCTTTATTTATAAGACTTTCTTAGGTTTTTCCAGTCTCTGTGTTTTTTAATATTAATTTTAATCTTTAATATTATTAATAATATTAATTTCTAAGTTCTAATTTTATAAGAACAACATTAGCATATTTTTCTTTCACTTTATTTGCCCCTCTGAGACTATGCATCATGAAATGAAATGAGAAGAGAGTAGTAAAAAGCAATTCAACTGGCTTTATTCAAGTACAGTACAAGAGCAATATTTTTCTTCATTCCAGATCAAATAAACACTTTAAATGTTCTATTTTTAAAAGTGCAAAAATATTTTTAACAGTGCAAAATGTCCAAGCACATTTTAATGGAGAGGGTATTAGCTATAAAAGGCCCATTTCAACCCTCATAGCTATGATTGTCATCTACAAAAGTTTATTGAATTGGTAAATTAAATACATCTGCAGGTTACGTCACATCATCCATTACTGGAAAAAACAAATGTGGACAAACAACACTCTTTGCTTCATCAGAGGTGTGAAATGCAGGGCAGTGTAGACTTCTGGTATAAAATCAGCTGAACAATGGTCCCCAACCTTGGTCCTGCATTTTATTCCAGCATTCCTTGCTGCAATTCACCTAATGCAACTAATCTTTAGATTTGAAGCAGCGTATTAGAGCGTGAAAGTTTCATTTTTTGGCTATGCTGCTCAGATAAATATTAAATTGTCACTCAATATCAGACCAAGGGTAAAAAAAAAATAATAATTAAATAATTCAGGACATCCCTAGAAATTTTTGTTTCTTCCTTCTGCTCTGCATTTTGTTTAGCTCTGCAATGAACAATCAGCAGTTTTAACTTATGCCTGAAATGTCTATTGAAAGAACAGAATTTAAAAAACATAAACCATAGCTGATCCAATTGTATGTTTTGTTCCTCTAAATTCTGCTTGAAAGCTTGGATTATAAGGCATTCAGAGCAGGTTCTACTCTTGTTTATCCTTCCTGTTGAAGATCTTGCAGTAGAGCAGCTTAAGGACACACACTGAGATCCATAGAATAGCTGCAATGATAACAAAAAGTAGGGCAGCCACATCTATACTGTAGTAAGCATACCAGGGCATAGCATAGGCCTCAGTGCGCAAGTGTGGAGCTCCTTTGTGTCTAAGGACAAACTCAATCCAGAAGATGGCACTGTCCAATCCAGACAGCGGTTTATCGCGGTGCAGCCGTGAAAGCCTCTTAATATTGTTGCGGTATGTGGGGTTTTCCAGAAGTTCTTTTAAAGCTTCCAGGAACTGATTCTTAGTGAGTGTCGCCACCTCCAGCACACAAGCTGCCCCGCGAGCCTTCAGCCTTAAGACGTTGTCGAACTGGTCAAAAAGAAGAGGTAAACCCAAAACAGGAACACCGTGGTAAATTGCTTCGTATAGGCCATTGGTGCCACCATGAGACACAAAGGCACGTGTCTTAGGGTGGCCTAAGAGGTCATTCTGAGGAAACCATTTAACCAGCAATGTGTTGTTACCAAGAGTTGAGGGTGCTTCACCCGGGTATTTCCAAATGACCTTCTGAGGAAGCTCAGCAAAGGCAGCAGCGATCATCTTTGTGGTCTCCTTTGGGAGGGCTGAGATGAGGGTCCCTAATGACATAATCACCACTCCATGCTCTCCTGAGCTCTGCACAAAGTCCTCCAGATCTGTGGGTAACTGCTTTGCAGGTTTGCATTGAAAACCTCCTATGTAGACCACATTGGGCATCGTAGGACGTGGGAACTCAAAAACAAAGTCTGCCCGCACCAACCACAAATCTGCAGCATGCTGCATGGCCATTATGGTGGATCCTGGTGGAAAGTGAAGGTCAAGTAACTCCCTGTAAGGAGGATCAATGACAAAGTGTTGTTGAAAGACAGAGATGAAATAGAAAAGCATGTTTATAAGGCGCTCTGAGAAGGTCATCCGGTCACAGAGGTTAGATCCAGTTAAAGGGACATAAGATAAAGGGGAAGGGGCAAAGACAAAATGGCTATCCCCATTGTTGATCCAGCGAACATTAAACACCATTGGAATGTTAAGGTAGTGGGCTAAAAGCACTCCAACAAGATTACCTGGGTCAGTTAGCACCATGTCATATTTACTATCTCTGAGTTGTGCCATGTAGGCTTTGTCCTCAAACATTGACATAGCTGCTTTGGCTAAAAAATCATGGCCATAAATTAACAGGTGCGTGAAACGCCATTGTAGGTAGAGGGAGGTGAGGGATGGCCACTTTCTTGAAAAGTTTAGATGTTGCTTCAGCAGCTTGTCATAGAAGCTCCGGTCAATGTCATCTTCTAGAGATTTAATTGGCATAGAAGTGTAAATTGGAGATTTCTCTTGGATGTACCAGCTCTTATCAGAGTGCATCACAGTCAAGTTGTGCCCACGCGAATATAACCCTTTTAAGATGATCTCCATATTAACCCAATGGCTGCCATCAACAGGAACCACCAAGATATTACTGTTGTTCTGACAGTTACCAGGAAAAGGAAGTAGCCACAGTAAGCTTGTAAGAATCAGGGAAAATCCTCCATTTGGCTCCATTCCTATAAAAACAGAAAATGTGACGCACATGTCGAGGTCTGTGAGAGGTATTCACATGAACATGTATAACTTTAACCATAAGCACTGTAGTGTACTGTAACCCTTTTGCCTTTATATCAACATTTGTGCTTTCATTTTTTTTGTTTAATTTAATTCATTTGTATTTACTCTGAATTGCCAGTTTATTTCAAACACCTATAAGTTCTTTACATTGTGTCTCATGCCTCGTTTCTTCTCAAATACTAAATTGTGCATCTCCTGTCCACCTTATCCCACTCTTCCACTAACATGCTTCATGTCAGAGCAGAACAAAACACTGATATTGCTACATTTCAGGATGACAAATGTAGAGTATCTGTAGCCTCATGCACAGACCTTTTTGGGGGGGTGCAGAGGCTCAAGGGGAAAAATGGACAACATGAACATGAATAAACTCAATTTAATATACTGTATATTGCAATTATTAGTATAGAGATATGGTATAATCATGTTTCAGATTAAACTAAACATAGTGTTGAGATTTTTTTCCTATTTAAAAGCACTAACATTTGTACCCCAGTTTTCAGTGTGTAAAGCCACAGCAATACCAACTACACTATTTAATTGCTATGTAGCATTTAATTAGAACTCCATTTGAGAGCTCTGCAGTCTCACATAAATCCCTGTTTTTTTTTAAATAGTTAAAACTTGGTGTAACGAGTTATTAACATCCCATATTGCTAACATTATGGGCACTACATTATGGGATGTGATACTTTCTTAGAGAATTATTTGTGTTTTATTGGAGGGATGTGCTCATGAGTGACAGGTTGGTTTTTCACTGAGGAGAACCACGTGCAGCCAGTACTGCACCAGAGGGGGCACCCAAGAGGAGTGAATCTTAAATATAAGATCATAAGGTAATCTATTCCATAGAACCCAAACACTCCAGGTCTACAAGCTCTATTCCCAGGGGAAGGCCGAGCCTCATCTCACTGAAGAATTGCTTGTTGAATAAAAATGAGCAGAAAAACGTCTGTGCTAAATTGTTATGTTTAAGCAGTCTAGTTGGAAAAACAAAAGAATCTACTTTTAA